CTATAACAAAAAAAACATCTATCATGAAAATTAACGTAACTAGTACACGTAACTAGTGGGAGCGACTCGCTTAGCTTTTAATAAAAATAATTAATTATTACAATTATTAAAAATTTGTGAGGGGGGTTTATGGGGGATCGAATGCGTTTTCACCATTGTGACGGATTAGAGGGGGTTGATGCTCCCCTTTCTTAGGGTATATGCAACGACTTCCATTATTACATCTAGCGTTGCATCCCCAACGAAAGGGTTACACCAACTCCTTAACCCGACTTCTATAACCACCCTGTAATTACCTGTGGAAAAGCCAACTAACTACGCGAATGAAACAGAATGTACTTTTAGCTTATTTAATTATTACTAATTATTACAGGTGTCACGGCATGACAATACCTACGTACTGTTATGCCCTTTGCCTAAAACCTAACGTACTCATAAATCTTTATTAATTACTAACGTAAAACGGTATCAACGGAGTAACAATAACGACGGAACGGAGGGAATAGTTTATAAAACCAATAATACATCTGACCTTTACTGGAACGGGTTCTCCTCTCCTGGCACAACACACACACCACTATACACAAAGTGGGTCCAGCGACTAGCGCGTGGACCCGACCGAACTCCTCAGAGGAGGTTACAATTCTTAATGCTATTTTTCAACCCAGACTGGACCTTATATTGGCATCCCTATTGGGCGTGGTGGGGGAGCGTCATTGCACTGGTGGTTATGCAACCCTTTTGACGACAATACCGATTGTCGTTACAATATAATATAATATGTATTCGTTTTGACTATTAACTGAAGAACTGAGGTTTTCCTTATTAACTTCCCGTAGGGTGGTAAGTTATAGCAATCGCAAAAGTTCAAAAATGAAAATGTTTATACTACGTTTCAGAGGTTTCTGAACATTTTGGCATACCTTAGAAAAAAATTATGTTTATGAGTATGCGTGTATGTGTGTATCGATACAAATTTTCATCGACGATTTCACGAAACACCGATCAACCGATTTGAATAATTCAAAAAACATTTGATTCTTATTGATAAGGAGGCGTGCTGATTAGTTTTTGGCAAAGGCAGGTCTAGCCGTTCCAAAAATACGGGACAAAAAGTGCCAAAAGCGGTAACTCAGTTTTTAAGAGAACGGTGTGTGTCATCTTAATATTTCAAAAAACATTTTACTTGTTTTGACATGATGAAGAACGGAAAAGCAGTTCCAGCGGTTTGGGAGATCTGGTAAAAAAAAGTAAAGAAAAATGCTATTTGGTCAAAAATGGTCATTGGACATATGCACATCAAATTATCAAATATTTGATGGAGATTTAAATAATGTGTATCATTTTTTTTACATTTCTATGGGTTCCGTAACGTCGTTTGTCTGTTAAACGGTGAGGCGGCGCTTACGCGCTTCGATATTTCAGGCAAAACGGCTGAACCGATTCTTATAACTTACTGATTTTTGGTAATGTAGATACAGCCGTTTTGGAGTTGCAGAAGAAAGAATTATGTACCAATAATAAATTGCGTTACTAAGTTTATACTTGATATACACACATTTACACATTTAATTATTAAAGCTGGTTGTTGATAAAGTTTCAATTATAAATCAACAATACAAAATTGAAATTGTGTCATTAAATACATTTTTGAATACCCATTTTAGCGTAGGCCAGAGCGGGGTTTGTCCAAGGGTAAAAATGTCTACCACTGATGTCTCAAAAACAAGTAAAGTTAGGTATTTTTAAAGAACAATATTTGAAAGTATAGGGAAAAAGATGTATTATCAGCTACTGATTCTTACGACGTCGCTATCGGGAGATAAACGGCAATTCATAACAAACGTATTTTCTTCAGTAGTTATAACTGCTATATAAATAAATAAGACTATAGTTTTATTCGTGAGCACTGTCATTTAGTTTACAAAACCTTAATATAACTTTTATGTATACGTTATTTTTTGTTTTATAAGACGAATTGTTATTAACTTCCCGAAGGAGAAGTTTATGTTTTCATCAAAAAATCCGATTTGCTAATTTTATGTTTTCTCAACGTTTCAAGCCATTCTGAATCGAATGAGACCAAATTTGGAAAAAGTATGTGTGTGTGTGTGTGTGTATGTGAACAGATTTTTTGCCGTAAATCGACGTTTTCTCGAAAACGGCTGGGTCGATTTCAAAAATTTAAAAGCCATTCGATGTATCTCGACGAGAACTATTGTTTGTCAGTTTTGTGCGACGATCGGCCAAGCCGTTTCTTTATGAATGGCAGAAAAGTGAAAAATTTTTCGTCTACGTTTTAGCCCGCAATTCTGAATCGATTTTGAAAATTCAAAAACCGTTCGAAAGATATTGATTGGGAATCGCGTTGATTAGTTTTTGGTAGAGATCGGCCAGGCCGTTTTCTTGTAATGAAGTTTTTAAAAAAAAATTCGACGATTTTTATGATTATTTTTTTGACGATAGATACCATAGTCTTCTTAGATCATACTAAAATATTACGGCCCTACGACAACTGGTTCAGCTTTAAAAATTCGTCAAAGTTTGCAAAAATCAGTATGGTCTTTTTGGCATTTGTCAAAATTAGACTTTTGATCGACGTTTTCTCAAAAACGCCTGAACCGATTTTAGAAATCTAAAAGCCATTTGATGTATTTCGGTGAGGACTATCGTTTGTCAGTTTTGTGCAACGATCTGACAAGCCGTTTCTTTGTAATTCGAAAAAAAGTGTTAAACTTTTCGTCCACATTTAAGCTCATCCTACCGAACCTATTTTAAAAAATCAAAAACTGTTCGAAAGATGTTAGTTGGGAATGGTACTGATTAATTTTAGGTGAAAATCTACCGAGCCGTTTTCTTGTAATTAACTGATAAAAAAAAAATTTAAGCCGATTTTCATGGAACTTTTTTTGGCGATATACATCATGGTCTTATAGAACTTACTGTAATATTACGGCCTTACGACAAGTAGTTTAATTTTACAAATTCGTCAAAGTTTGCTAAAATTATTATCGTTTTTTTTAAAGTAGGATTGATGAAGTATATTATTTACACATTTTTTATGATTAAGTCGATTATTTACACATATCGGAAAGTTCATGTAACTTGCCTCAAGGCTAAATACCAAACCAACTAGTTTTTAACTTAGATTCAACAGATTTTTATATATCCTTTATAAAAGTTTATAATAGTAAAAGACCAACTAAACTAAAATGTTTTTTGGATCATTTCAAATTGGACACTCCGTTCTCTCACCGTCCAACCGTTATCTTCAAAGCAGTTGTACCTACTTTTGCCAAAAACTAACCAGCACGTATAATTTTTGAATTAACCAAGTCGATTGATCCGTATTACAGAAATCGTCGACGAAAATTTGTAACCGCACAAGTATGCCAAACTGTTCAGAAGGTTTTGAAACGTAAAAATATATAAGAACTTACCCTACGGGAAGTTAAAAATGAAATCGGTTTAGCCGTTCTTGATAAAACGTGGACGAAAGGTTAAAAATTAGACTCCTGCACATACACACTCATCCATACGATACAAACCATGAATACATATGAGTACATCATATTCTAATATTGTCTAATATACAAACGATTCAGAATGACTTGAAACGTAATATTGATCGAATGCTACTTGCATTTTCATGTTTACCTTTGATATACTTAATTACTTGTTTTCTATTTACGCTTCTTTATTAAATTACTTAATTAATATATAGCTAATATAATTAAAAATATAAGTAATGCTTGATACATAAGCAGTCTATTTTATTCAAATTGACAATGAGAGAATGCTACATGTGTTATTAGTGGTATAGGCATTTTACCATTATAAATGAACTGATATAATTTGAATCCACAAATAATTTTTTTACCTAATTAATTTGCTTTGTAAAAATAATGTATATTTTATGTTATAATTGTGGTATGTATTCCTGAGATATATTGTACATTTTGAATCACTTAATTTCATATTTTTAATCTTAATAAATTAATGTAATTATATATGCTTCAAACATCGAGTAAAGTCAAGAAATTGACAAATTGTATAATTATCTTAAATAAATTTAGTTTCAAATTCACTGTTTATTAATATGTATTACTGTTACTTATTAGTTATTTTCAAAAAGTCTTTTAATCAAAAATTGCTTGTACAGTCAATATGTTCTGCAAGATTTCTCTGCTAAATGTATCCTACAAGATGAGATACAAATATTGAATTCACAGGATTGATTTTTAAAGAACACATTCACATTTATTAAACCAAGTATAACAAAAAATTGACTCATTAAAAATCCTTTAAGTTTCTGCTTTTTTAATTTGTTTTACTATGTGCTAAATTTTCTAGCAACTTCTGTCTTGGCTAACTACTAGTTTTAATACATATGAATGAACTATCTTTGCAAATATTGGTCAGGATGTTTTTTTATTATGGTTTAAAAAAATTAAATAAAACCCTTTGTTAAAATTGTTTGTTGTATTGATTGCATAATGAAGGAAAAAATACAAACTTTAATTTATGCTAATCTTTAAAACTATCAAGTGTACAAAATAATTAGACATATTTTTTTGTTCATATAAACAATTCATTTAGAAATTCTGCTTAAATAGTTTAAACAATCAATATTTGCATTTTTATACTGAAATCATAAATATTACAATTAATTAATAAAGATATTCTTTAGTATTTCTATTTCGTTTATTTAGTTCATAGTTTCAGTACATCACTATTATATTTGCAATCACATAATTAGTAACTAAAATTAAATTTAGCAATGTCCATGCTTTAGTAATATAAATTCGTAATTACTTTTTGTATTCAAATGTGACAACAGAACTAAGCTCTCACAATTAATTTTAATGTGATAGTTCATATACATATAAATTATATAACAAACACAATTTCTGAACAAATTTTCAACTGTGATTCAACAATTATATACATATCAAATGTTTTTAACAATGTGTTACAAGAAAGCTTGTATCGATCGAATTGATAATTTTGGAAACAACACTGTTGTTTGTTAAGCGTTTAAATATAACAAAAATTTAATAAATAAATATTCTAAAGTGGTTTTATCATTTCAACCGCAGTATAAAAATAAATGTATAAATTGATTCATGAAGGAATTTTTATACCCATGTTTTTGTGTTAAATATATAATGCTTTAAGATGTTGGCGTTGCTTTCATTGCTTCAGATAGGGCTTCTTGTTGTGATGAGTTCAACACTGATAGACATGCATTAAACATTTCTTGATTGCTCTATAAAATAACAAAAATTCAATTAATAATGAAATATATTTAATATGAAGTATATTACAAACATATTTCATTTACCTGTACTTGTCGAACAATATTCACCATTCGTTTGGCAACATCATTTTCAATGGAGATTGCATCCCTAAAGAAGGCCTCAGCAATTATTGTTATTAATTTAGGCAAATTATTATTATTAGGTCCTAAAACTAATGGATGATTTGCTTCAATTAGATCACATAAATAACCATAAACGTATTCAGCTTCATCTTCATCTTCAGAAACAGGCAGCCAAGACAGCCTAAAATATAATGAATCACATGAAGCAAATGGAAGTTTTTTTTTCTATCAATAGGAAATAATTTACAGTAATTTCAGAAAAGATTAAGCCAAAATAAATATCAATATTAATTCATATTCATTTTTATCATCATATAAAAATTAAATAACATGGGGTAATGTTGTATTCTCACCAGTGGATGATGATGTCATCAACATTTATTGCACTCGAGTTAAATTTCAATATTTTTGTGACAGCAGATATGGCATTTTCTGTAGGATTAACATTTTCTGGAGCTCTACTATTTGGGGCATTTATTATTTCCATCAACCTAGGAATTGCTTGAGCACAGGCTTGGCTAAATTGTTCTCCACCAAACTAAAATAAATCAATATAAGACCATACAATTTTCTGCACATACTTGTAAAAAACCTATTACAAAAATATATAATACCTGTCCGAGGACACCGCAACCATAAGCAGCTGCTTGTCTCACTTCAGCTGAATTGTCACTAAGAAATTGCAACATAGGAGCTAGGAAAAATTCTTGATATTTGGAACATAAGGGTCCAGCAAATTCAATTGCATCGTCGAATATACATAGACCCCATTGCCTATCAGACCATGGGCCATCTGGGTTGAGTAATTTAACAAAATGACCACAAACTTGGTCAAAGTACGGTATAAAAGTAGCCTTGTAAGATAAAAACAAAGCATGGATCACATCTGCAACTCTGGATAATGTGTAAATATCATCTGAGTCTTCATCACATAATTGCTCTTCTACAACCTGAAATTTTTTATTAATTTTAATTATTTCAAAAATTGCTTTTAACTGCAATACACTTAAATGATCTTTTCCATCAAGTTTAGTTTATTATAATTTTGAACTCACCTCATCATAATCTTCATCTTTCCGTTTTTCTAATCTTTCGGTTGCTCTTTCAAAATGTTCATTCATCATTTTATTTATAATTGTTAATATATCTTTCATATGTTCTTCTGATAAACATCCAGCTCCCAGTGTTTCTATGCACTGAAATATTTTGTATATGATAAAAAAATCATGGTATAAAAAAGTAGAAGTAGGTGAAAAGTTTTTAGTCATACATACTTTTGATAAGGAATGCATTAATTCAACAGTGACTTCATTTTCCGGTTCAGTATCAATAGCCTTTATCAGTTCTGGGCAAATGTATAACCACATCCCTTGTAAATATTGGGGACCTTTGATTTTTGCACAATCTAATAGACAAGGCAATGATTCTGCAGCTGCTGACCGGACACCATCATGGAAATAAAATTTAAGCATGGGAACCATCAGTTTAACTACTTCCTCTGCATAATCAGCAAAACCTTCTTTCAATTCTCTTGCATAGCAAACCAACATTTCACAAGCTGATGCTTTATCTTCCAAACCTATGACAAAAAGAGGTATAAATGCAATTATATATAAAAAAATAATTATGTTATTAATAAAAGATAAGTTTAGATTTTATTTTACCTGCAGTCCTTATACCAAAGTTCTGTTGCTCTCCAAGATTGACAAATTGCCAATCTTCATCACCATCAACTTCTTGCAAATCATCGTTGTCTAATAAAGCTACTTCAGGTTTCATGGAGGCTGTTCTCATTACAGGACCCATAACAAGTGGCAAATATTGTTCAAATTGCTTACCTATTGGCAGAAGGAATTAATATTTATTTGAACAATGGCATTGTATACTACTATAATTGTTTCTATCATTTATTTATCAGAAAAGATTAAGCCAAAGAAATCAACATAATGTTCAGTTGATAAATTTTTCATCATAGACATAAGCACAAAGATGTTAGTAATATTAAGCGAATGCAATACCTAAAATTTTGCATATTCTTGCCCATGCTGATATCAAATATGATGTTTGAGGATCATCATCAGGCAGCTCTCCTTCTGAATGAGTTTTTAGGAGCATATCCATCACCTCACTGGCATCACGCATGAATTTCTCTGCACCGACAGCCAAACCTAAATAGAAATAAATTTAAATAAACACTAATATCTTAAGATATTGAGAAATATCAATCCTATGAAAATTATCATTGTTCCAATGAAAGTAAATTGAACACATACCAATAAGACTAACACACTCAATGGTCTTTCCCCGCAACATTTTCAATTCATCTGTGTTTGCATTTTGAATTATATATTTTAAACAAGGCATGAGTCTATCGTAATATGCCACAAACTCCTTCTCAGATGTATCTGCTACTGATGCTATTGTAGTAACTACTTGTTCTAGAACTAATTTTGTGCCTTTCTCCACTAGCTGTAATGTTAATATTGAAATGTTGAATGTTAAAAAAAAAAAAAAATGACTAATATATTTTTAAGATTTCAGTTTAGAATATATACCTCCTTAAATTTGGCAGTTAAAATAGCCTCAAGTTTAGCCATTATACTTTCTAAATATTGGGTCAAAATATTTTTTGGGCAATCTTCACTAAAGTTAACTAAAGCTGCACCAGCATGTGCTTGAACTCTGGGATTCATGTTGTCTTCTAATACCATAAGTAATCCAGGCACAACTTTGCTGTGGAATTTCTTTTCAAAGACTGGAGCAAAATCTGTTGACATTTGACCAATAGCATTGCAAGCAGCATATCGAACTCGTGGGTGCTGAAACATAATTTATATTATCATCATGTGTGCTCATTGAAGTTCACAAAATAAGCAATTGAAGGCTATGCCTAATGCATAATAGATCAAAATCAATAATAGTTTTCACAAAATTCAACCTTCAAATATACTGAAACAATTTCTTATAAAAAAAATGGGATAGCAACAAGCTATGCTCTTTGAATAAAATTATTTTGTATTTTTTAATACAATCAGGATTTGAGTAGTGTTATTGTGTATTTCATACTTACTGGATCTTGCAAGAAGTTGAGCACTCCATTCATAATTTCATCCAACATAGATTCCATTTGTTTATGACAACCTTCTCCAACAGCACTGATAGCCATTAAAGCGGCATGCCTTTGTTTCCAGTCTGCATGGCTTAACATAGGTGGTATGTTTTGAATTACCAAAGGTAACATAGTTTTACCGCCAAGTCCACAAGCCAATCTGTCCAGTGATGATTCAGCAACAACATTATTACTGAAAGGAATAAGGTTTTATTTAATATTGTTTTATATTATCATAAAAAATATAAAAGTATACATTTCAAGTCAGATAGCGCATATCTAATTGCCCAATAACAATATTTGTCTCGGACAAATAATGCTTTGAACAATTACCCAAGCACATGCTCTTTTGGGTTTCAGGACCCCTACGCAATTCATCATAATAATTATCAATAGAACTGAAAACAACAAATAATTTTCATAAAATATTATCAATCATTTGCTTCTTACCATTCACTATCATCTTCAATGATTTCATCTGATATGGCCCAGTCATCTTCATCATCTATGTCACACATCATTTGCAAAACAAGTGGAACTAAGGCTACAACGTACTTTCCAGTCACTTTACGAACCATTGCAGGTGCTGTTTCAGATAATGTAACCATAACTTCAAGAGACAACTGTCTCCATGAATCATCCATATTGGTATCAGCAAATGCCTGAAATATTTATTATAAATGTACCAAAATATTTACTTAAAGTGGTGAATCTTATTCAATTCGGATGAATTATGAAAAATAGTTAAAGAGCTCTTCAAATCAAAGAATTATTAATAAACATAATAATTACCTTCATACACATTTGGAATATAGATTCCAATTCGGATCTAAGAAACTTTGGTGTAGATTCTGCTAAGTCAATTACTACTTTCAACAAGGCTGTATCATCTTGTTTCTCAATACTCTCAGCAAGTACTTGCAAACATCCAGGTAAGAGGTCAGCAAAGTGTTTATGTATCACAGTATCTTTATCATGTAGTATTATAAAAGCTCCTACTGCTCGGACTGCTTGAAACCTGACATCATAGCCAGAATCAGGCATCAGCGACTGCTGTAGCATTTGCTTGATCAAATCTAAATATCTTGGCTGTTCATTGCCAAAAACACCAGGCACAGACCTAGTTTATAAACAACAATATAAGTATGCATAAAAGGTGAGCACAAAAGTAAGATTTAGTGATTTCAGTTTTATCTATGATTATTTTACTTCAAAAATTCAATGGATAAATATACAAGGATTCTGTTTGTTGCTCCATAAACAAAAATTTTAAGATTTTTGTAAAATTATTTTAAAAATTAAGTCTTACGTAAACATTCTTAAAGCTGCTTCTTTCAAGTGTGGATTAGGTGCATTTGCACATTGAAAAAGATATTGCAAAAACTCAGGCCATTGGTTGTTCCCATCATCATCAATCAAGTTCCGTGCAACTTCTGATACAACATCACATACCTTACGTCGCATTTGTACTGATTGATCAAGTTGTATTGTTAGTAAAACTTGTTCCTTTAATTGTGCTTGTGCTTCAACTGGTATCTAAAATCAAAGAATCAAATATTGTTAATTGTTTATGTAGTTAACAAAAGTGAAATTATTTTTTAAGCACAATTATTTCAAACTTTAATGAAATACGTTTGAAAATAGCATTGCTGATTCTTAATCATTTGTTAAAGATAGACATTGAATAATGATATTATATGGCAATATGTTAAAATAACCTTAGAATAAAAATCCATAAATTCAGAGGAAAATAGACGTCTGAGCAGCACAGCTGCCATTGTACGTGCTTCTTCAGTCATTTGCCCATTGTGTATAGCTCCCAACAAATATGTCACCTTGGTTTCCACAGGCATATTTGAATAAGCCTCCTGCGAAAAAGGTAAAAATTAGTTTTAGATATAACATTTAAAACAGTGTAATTACACACAGCTATAATAAGTTTTTTTTAACTAACCAATATAAGACATACATCTCACACTACATGGTTCTAACCTATATTTTGCTATATAAAGCAGAACAGAGAACATACCAAACTTTGTCGCTGTACAAAATTCAAGTAAAAAGAAAAATTATTTCCGTCTCAAATATTTGGTATTTTTTATATTAGTGATTATATATGATATTAGAATTGAAGAAATTTGTAATTGATAAAGGCACAGGATATTTGACAAGACCTGTATTGCTACTAAATACTTATTAAAAAGTCTTTACAAACGCAAACAAGTGCCCTTACTAAAGCTTAGTAAGGCGGGCGCCTTCAATAATGAAAAATGGAGGGAAATATGCAAACTACACCCTTAAATAAAAAAGCCTTGAAAATATATTGCAAAATAACGTAAACGATAGTATGAAATAATATAATGCTTAAATGCTCTGCGTATGACGCATTCAATATAGTGAAATTAGTATTAATTACGATCGGCAAAAAATTCATAGAAAGCATGCTTTTTTGAAATGTACTTTTTAAGGAAAGAAATGATGGATTAGCAAAAACAAACAATAACACACGTTCCTAAAAAAAATCCGAGCAGATAACCTACCTCAGCTTTTGTCCTGACTTCATTTTCAGTCGATAATAGCGTATTCAAAAGCTGGTGAAATTGTTCTTGATCCGCTGCCATGATGTTTCAAACTAAGTGACCACAGAATGTTGCCACGCGATATACATATACTCACTTACAACTATAGATTTTAAAAAAATATTTACTTGCTAAATAAGTGAAAAATATAATACGATACTGGGCATGTAAATTTTGTTTATTTAAAAAAACGTCAAACGAAGCCAGCCTTCTATTCGCTGACTTTAATGTGTGAATAAATATGCGTCATATTTCGTTTCGTTGGAAATATCCTTCCTGAAATACCAACAGGATTTTTATTGCAATGTGGAAACATTTAAAAACGACATTCGTCTAACTTCAAAGGAGAGATAAAGGGCAAGCTGGAAGGATCAATTCACACATAGATAAAAGTAGAGTATATTCACATTAAAGAAGATTAGATTCACATTTCTTTATTCTATCGATCAATTATACTCTTTTTTTAATATCTATGAATTAATTTTAATATTGTTTAGGGATCAATTATAAACAAACTATTAACATAAATGATGAATAATTATTTATGCTTTTACAATAAATGATTAAATTAAAAATTCAATATAATATACCATATTATAACTGAAGATATCATTATTATATTTTATATATTATATCGAGGATAGCTTATATACAATAAACATAAAAAATATATGTTTGTTGTATATATATAAGCTATCTTCAATAAATTATGAAATGTTTCTGTCTAAAGCAACATTTTTCAAGTTTCCGTAGGGTAGTTATAGTAATGGGCCGAAAATCGCAAATGAAAACTTTTGCATACCTTCATCTTTTGAAGGTTTTTGAACATTTTGGCATATATAAAAAAATCAATTCGTAATGACTGGGAGAAGTGGAGATTAGATTTTACCAAAGGCAGGTCTAGCCGTTTCGGAGATACCGCGCTAAATGTGCCAAAAATAACAGTTTTTGAGAGAACTATGCATCTGATTTCAATGATTCAAAAAAATTTTTGCTTGTTTTGACAAAGTAATTACTTTTGAAAAAAAAATTAAGAACATTTTTTTTTCTCAAAATATTTTTTTTGTATATCGAAAATAATTCTGGTTAAAGTTCTAAAGCTCACTTATATACTTTAAATAAATAATTTTAACTTTGTAATTTAATTTATGGAAACCCTTATAAATATTAGAGAATGTTACAGCATTTATAATAATCTGTATGAAAACATTTAATATTTCTCAAACATATTTCGTCACGGTACGGAAAGTTTCAGCAATTTGCCCTAAGGTACGATGCCATACACCACTAGTTTATTTTAGTATTATAATTATTTTTACTCTCCAAAGTAGATGTTCAGATTTAGAGGCAAGTTTAGCATCAAAAGTAGAAGCATATAAAAAACAGAAGCAACTATATAAAATATTCTAGAAATTTCATATGAAAAAAGTATTCAACTCATCAGCGCCCACATTAGTTTTAGAACTTTTTACGGCACAGAACTCCCAACATAGCAAACTAAAATTGCATCTAGTCATTGTCTTATCTTTCTGACAATATGTCTACGGTACAGATTTTACGCGACTTTACGCATTATAACCAAAAAATATTGAGAACATTAAAATTTCATTGTGCGTAATTTTAGCGAATTGTTATAATAAAAGTACAGTGTTAGTGAACGTTTATTTGGGTTTTTACAAAATCATTTGTTAAAAGTTTGATTGGTTTTGAGCAATTTGAATTAAACTGTATTATTTTGAACTATTGCGATTAAATTAATGTCCCGTAAAAAGATAAAAAGATAAGTTATTTCTATTTAAACATGTTCAAGAATAAGCAGCAGCTGGATAATCACGTCCGTTCTATTCAATCACATCTAAAATCTGATAAAGACGTAAGTTTGAAGTTTTATATTATCGCCATTGTTCCCGGCTTTTTATAAATTGCATTGATCATGTTGATATGTTTCAATGTCTATTCAACTCGTAAACAATTTACAAAGTTACATTTTGTCATTCGCTGTTTATGCCGTTATCCAAACAAAATCAGGTTGAAGTCTATATATTTCCATTGTTTAATTGTTTTACCTATGTTAAATATTTTCAAAATGCAGTATATAAAATTAAACTTATATACATCTTATATGCGTTATAAATATGCTACTATAGACAAATCGTTATTATATTGTACATACATAAATTTCAAACTTTGAATAACAATTTGAAATTCATTAGGTCTCCTAGATATATATGCAGCTTAAAATGCTCAAAAAAGTTATGTCTGTTTATATTGTGCTTACTATAATATGTAACAATTTCCATACAAATTATAATTTTTTTTCGGTGTTGATAAATGATAAGCAACTAGAATACTTAATAAAATACTAATTTTACATTAACCAGTAAAAGGAACTGGAATACTTAATAACATATTAACTTTACTTTAAACAATAAAATCATAATATTATTACATATTTAGATGTCCATATTTTTATAAGCAATTCATAACTTAGAATCTAACTTTATTTTAATCAAGGACAATATATACAGTAGTTTATTATTCATTAGTTTAATAAGGAAAAATTGAATAGAAATGTATTTATTTCTAGTTTATACATTCACAATAAAATAACTTATTACACTGTATTATTTATAATGTATTGATTTTTCTTTCAGCGTAATTTGCGTGGTCTGAATTTTTCACAATTGTATTTCAAAATAGGAGAATATGAAATGTCTAGGCGATATATTTGTGACTACTTGACTGTCAATGATAAATCCTCTGTAGCTTATAAACAATTAGGATTGTGTTTAGACGCTTTGGGTCAGAAGGAGAAGGCGTTTTCGGCTTATAAAACATCTTTAGAACTTGAGCCAAAGCAACCTGAATTACTCCTGAAAGGTTGGTTAATATTAAATAGGTATTTACATTTTTATGAATGTATAAATGTGTAATAATTAGAGTATTGTTTCTAAATGAAGATTTAGACAAATCTGTTAAAGATATGAGCTAATGCTTAATTTAATTTTTGAGTATGCACAAATTTTAATCATTGTTGCCAATAAATTTTAAATTGAAAATTTTCTACCGCCGCATAACTATTGAAGTTAATTAAAGAAAATATATTGTTGAAAAGTTCTAGATAAATAACTTCGTATGAACATTCATTGTCCACCCATTGGTGATAATTCTTGATGGTGATAATTTGTTTGTGTATGCAGTTTGACAATGAAGTCTTTCAAAAATATTAAGTTTTAAGATGATTTATATATATATATATATATATATATATATAAAATATAATATGTCGAAACGTTTAATGGAATAAATAATTTTTCTATTTAATCTTTTTTTAATTCGACGATTCAGTTGCAATAAAATATGTCAAATATATATAATATGTTATTTCTGTCATGGCTTTGGAAACTTCTCCAACATTTGATGCAATTATTTTGTGATATATTTTATTTTTAGTTTGTGATATTCTACTTCATGGAGATGTTGTGCTAGACCCTAACAGAACAAGGTACTGGTGTGAATTAGCAGAATCACAATTTCCTTCCAACAATACTGTTTTTCGTCTAAAAGAAAAAATGGTTGAGGCACAAGATGCTAATCCTATGGAGATCAAAGAATTAATTCTCAAAGAACTTGCCTTAAAACCTTCTGATCCATTTCTTAGAGTGCGGTACCTACAACATTTATTGCAACAAAATTTAATTACTGAAGCTTTTGATTATGCACAAGAAATAGAATGTAAAAACGTAAACGCACTCAATGATAATGTAAAATGGTATGATACCTGTATCGAAATTTTGCAGAAATACAAAATAGATATGGTTCAATCAAAAGTAACAAATTGGAAATTTTGGTTATTCAATATAACCGTTCTTGAAAAACAGGCCAGCTTGGCTCTTTCTGAAGTACATAACTATAGAAAGAGCATGGTGGACTGTGCCAATGCACTAGTTGGACTGGATCAAGGACTTAACGAATTATCGAAATGTTCTTTAGCTTTATGTGAAACACGTGAATTAAGCTCAAATTTAATAGTACACTTTCAAGGTCAGCTTTGCTTTCATCTTGCAACTTTTCTGTTTAAAAAAGCTAAAAAAGATCATAATTTGTGGAAAGAAACTATCAAGCATTGCTCTCCATTGCTACTGTTAGCTTTCCATTTTGCTCCTCCAGATTTACAAGATAATTGGTTGAGCCATACTTCTGAAGCTAATCGACAGATTGTTCAAAAATGGAATCGTGAGGGATCATATAGATGTTCCCAAGCTGGTCACACAATATTGTCTTGCATTACTGAAAAGAAAGGTATATTCATGGATAGAATTTCTAATTATTGCTCAGGTTCATGGAGAGAAAAACTTTATAAGATTATATTTTCCAAAATAGATCATGTAAATAAAATGTCATCATCATGTTTCGTTAATAATGAAGTTTTTAAAGAACCAATGCTAACTTTTCCCAGTGCTAGCCAGTTGAAAATTTATGATAAAGTATCTCAAAGACAGTATCCGAATTCATTACATCATTTGGTTTGGATAGGCTTGGCATATCAGAAAAACTTATGGGACTTGAAATGCAACATTTTTGAAGGTTTGCAATATTCAATTAACAATTTGGCCAATTGCAATGCAGAATGTTTGAATCAGTTGGACATGGACACTTTTACATACTGCACTGTTATGTGTACAGGAACTCTGCAGGAAGAAAGTGTAAAATCCGGCTATATTAGCTCAGATAAGCCATCAGTCTTGCCTGCTAATATCATGGAACCACTTTGCACAGAACAACAATCAAAATGGTGGGCAGCTGCTTTTAAATTATACAAAAATGATACTCAACCGCAACTTGGAGATTTGCGTATTACATTAACGAGGGGCATAGAAGTTATAAGATGTGTTGGACAGCATGGATTGGATGCAAAATTATTGTGTAATCTTGCTCATATTTTTAGTGAACGTGTAAAAAATGGTGCCCAATCAGAGAGGCACTTTTTAGAAGCTCGAGTTGGCCTATTTTATTCAAGCGCATATCCTCTCCTTCAAAGGTTAAAATCTCAGCAAGTGGTTTGTCCTGTTCAAAATCGTTTATTTAACTATAATCACAAAGAATTAAAAATTAGTGAAATTATTCACTTGATTGAAGAAGTAAAAATGTTCCAAGGTATGCAGTTGATGAATGACGGAGATCATGAGAAAGCTTTGGATACTTTTCATGGCATGAAAACTCCTTATGCCAGTTTCCAGCAGGGTATTATATACAAAAAACTTGCCGAAGAACAACTGAGTTCCACCAAAGAAAATTTAACTAGTGAGATGCGTTCAAAGCATATAATAATGCTGTCCAAAGCAAGAGATTGTTTTCATTTGACACTAGATCGATTAAGAGAAAGTAAAGTGAATAATCATCCCTTGGATGAAGTTCTGGCCTCTCACATGGAGGAAGTTGAAGAACAGTTATCCAGAATAGATCCTGATACATGTGGAAATAGAAATGATTGTGAAATCATGTCAGAAGATAATATTTCATCAGTAGGTAGCCTTGGAGAAAACATTCTTTTGAATTTAACTAACAGTTGTATGAATAATACTCATAATCAAATGATTTCAACACCAAAACATAAAAGTAGAAACATTTCTCAGTATCTTTCTACAACCAATTATGATATCAAACGTACAGAGTCTAGACCTAGCCCTGAGCGGTTGGATGCCCAGATAAGAAATTTGACAATAAAACGTGAGCATGATATGAATTCTCTAATGGAAATAATACATCAATTAGTTGATGAAATTAAAGATTTGAAATGTACTGTTGATCAAGGATCTAAAAATCACAAAAAACTGATTGAAGAATTGAAAAGTGAGGTATCTGAATTAAAGAAAACAGTGAACAAAACAAAAGTGACACCTACGCCAAACTTAGATGAGCAAGACTTTAGATACCTGCTTGAGGAAGAACTTCAAAATCAAGAATATAGTATGTCAAATTTATATCAAAACTACCCACCACAGCGAGTACCACCGAATCCAAATTTGAATTATTCTCCTCATATGTATCAAAATTCTGTTTATCCAATGTATCCACCATATGCAACAGTACCATATGTAGAAAATCAGCAAGTAGCTGATCTTCGAAATCAAGTTTTAAATCAGCAATTCATGTATAATCAAGCAATGTTTAATAAGTTGAATCAACCAGATTCATTATCGATGCTTCAAGCTATGAATTCTTTATATCCACAGAGTTCAACACAAGATTTAGGTGGTCCCTTGCACAATAAACCTGAAATGAATTTCTTGGATCAGCAAAGTGGTGTGTCCTCTCAAACTTCCTCTCAATCTCTTCAACCTTTATCTCAACCGAGTCAAAGCAATATTATGACAAATACTAGCATTGCTCCAGTGACAACACAAATAAATAAACCACAATCTTTCAAAACTGCTCCAGCAAATGTTGTTATATCCAATTCAGATCCTTTGCCAGCACATACACTGACTTCGGTTCAATCAACTTTAAGTGTCACTATACCAGCTCATCATATCAAAACCACTACAATGCAAACAAAAGGAATTCACAATTATCAAATAGCTATGCCAAATATTACAACAACTTCAACTCCATCTATTTATGGTTTTACTGATTTAGCAAAACATACACCAGAAGCACCGAAACCATTTTCATCACCATTTGAATCAAGTGCGTCTTCCACCCCGAAAACGATACTTTCAAAAACAAATAGTACTAGTGACTCTTCCTTTGGCACTCCAAATGCCCTATTTTCTAGATCTAATAAAAATACTTCTGGGGATATATCAGCTTCTTCGTTCTTTTCTACAGCTGATACTTTAGATATAAATAATTCATCAACTAATACAATTGTTACAAATACTTTAAATAAATCATCAGACACTTCTTTAACTGAAAAGTATGACCCCTTACCTGATTTTAAACCAATTATTCCTTTACCTGATGTTGTTGAATTAAAAACTGGAGAAGAAGACGAAGAAGTTCTTTTCAAAGCAAGATCTAAACTATATAGATTTGTTGATAAAGAGTGGAAGGAAAGAGGCATTGGCGAATTGAAATTACTTAGTAATAAAGCTACCAAAAAAGTGCGTGTTCTGATGCGCCGTGATCACACACACAAGGTATGCGCTAATCATATAATAACCCATGACATGACTTTAAATCCTGCCTTGAACGAAACTAAAGCTTACGTTTGGCATGCTTCTGATTTTGCTGATGAGAATGTTATTCATGAAAAGTTGTGTGCTAGATTCAAGACTGAAGACATTGCAAAAATGTTTTATACTGTTTTCGAAAAAGCTCGATCTGCTTGCCAACCTGCGCAAGATGTGACACAAGAAGTAACTAGTAGCACCACGACGGAAAGTGTTTCTACCTCGGCTTCGATATCTAAAGATTCAGATAATACTGAGAAAAATAATAAAGTCAGTTTTGGCGGTTTTACCTTTAGCAGTACGCCCACATTAAAAGAAAGCACTAATAAAAATTCAAATCCCAAATTGACCCTTTCACAGGAAACTAAAAAGGAAACGATTAGCCCCTTTGCTAGTTTTTCGTTCGGATCTACTTTGAGTAAACCAACAGAAAAGGACAAATGCGCTGAAGAGTCCAAGTCGTTAGAAGACAAATCAGAATTGGCAAACGTTTCTAACGATAACGTAGAAGAATTTATACCGACAGCAGAATTTACGCCAGTTATACCACTACCAGAAAAAGTTGCTGAACAAACTGGGGAAGAACATGAGAATGTTCTGTTTGAAGAACGGTCAAAATTACTCCGCTATGATTCTGACACCAAAGAATGGAAAGAAAGAGGCTTAGGAAACATAAAAATTTTGGTTGATAAAAATGACGATCAGAAAGTTAGATTATTAATGCGCAGAGAAATCGTCTTAAAGGTTTGCTGTAATCATTTTATCACTAAAGACATATTGTTTACGAGAATGCCCTCAGAGAAGGTGAACTCTGTAACATGGTCAGCAAACGATTTTTCAGAAAACGAAATGAAAGCTGAAGTCTTTGCTATTAAGTTTAAAACTAAAGAGCTGTGTGATAAATTTTATGATACAGTCACGAAGGCCCAAAGTAAATTGAAAGACAAAAATACAACTGAAAAACTAAGTAAGCCTGTAGCAGGTTCAAAACAAGTTGGCTTTGGGGATATGTTCAAACCAAAACCAAATTCTTGGACTTGTAATTATTGTTATATTATTAACGATAAGGGTCTGTACTGTATAGCTTGCAATTCTCCTAAAGATGATACTGTTCCAGCCAAAAAAGATGATACATTGAGTAATAAAAACGAAAATTCTAGTTTCACTTTTGGAATGCCAACTAATAGTGCAATAACAGCAAGTGAAAAGAAAAATGATAGTATTAAGGGTAAAACAAATGAAACTTCTACGTTTATTTTTGGCAATACAAACACACCAACAGTGCAGCCGCTTTCTAAAACTTCTGAGAAGAAAAATGAAGTTCCTGTTGCCAAAACTGAAACATCATTCAAGCAAACTGGTTTTGGTGATATGTTCAAACCAAAGCCAAATTCTTGGACTTGTAAAAGCTGCTACGTCAGTAATGATAAAGGGTTATATTGCGCAGCATGTAATTCTCCAAAAGATGATACGGTTCCGGCGAAAAAAGAAGAATTATTTGGAAGCAACAAAACAGAAGGCGCTGTATTCAGTTTTGGAATGCCTGCCACTACTGCACCATCCATGGTGTCTACTCCTTTAGCATTTGGTAAAAAAACAACTTCAGATTCGGCAAGATTTTCTTTCGGCGTGCCAAAAGCGGAACAACCTTCCCAAGACCCTTCCTCAAATGCTTTTAAATTTGCATCGCCAACGTCTACACCTGCCACTAGCTTTGTGTTTGGCGGTAATTTGAATGCTAGCTCAAGCGATACTAAGGCTTCAGGCGACACTGTGAAAAGCTTAACAACACCTTCAGGAAAGTTTGAGTTTGTTTTTACTCCTAAATCACCCAAAGGAAAATCCCCATCGAAAAATGTTTCAAAGGGCGAAACTGATAGTGCAGGGGAAGAAGATTATGTTTCGGATAATGAGGACGATAACATACATTTTGAGCCTGTGATACCTCTTCCGGAAAAGGTAATTATATTAGCAACCTATTTATTTATTTCAGCACAATTATTTTCGTGTTATTCATATTTAATTTAAATAAATAGTTCATTAGTTATTAAAGCGTGCCACTTCACTTTGCTTATTTTTTTGCAAGTTATAATGTATCAAATTTGTAGGTTTTGTGTACAGATATTTAAATACAAAATATTATTTTATATATACTAATCATATATAATAATTTTGCAGGTTGATGTTATTACTGGCGAAGAGAATGAAGAAGTATTATATTGCCATCGAGCTAAACTCTTTCGATTCGTTGACCATGAATGGAAGGAAAGGGGTATTGGTGATATAAAAATTCTAAAGAATAATGTAACCAAAAAAATCAGGTAATTATGTAAAATAGTTCGCATAGCACAAATTTAGTCACTATTAAATTTAGATCAAAAAATTGTTTAAAACTGAGCTTCTTAAACTTTTTTCATTCGCGACCCCGTTTATGTTTGCGAATTGTTAATTGACCCCATTTATGATTGCGAGTTTCTCAACAACCCCACACAAATATAAGAGTAAACAATATTTTTAGATGATTTGTTTATTAGATAGTAATATACATATCATATATATAAAAATGGAGCTCTCTTTCAAATGTCCGAATAAAACTCGAAAACGGCTGAATCGATTTGGCCAGTCTTAGTCTTGAAAAATTCGTGCCAATCCAGAGAAAGTCCAAAAGGTGAGAAATTATTTCAAATCCGCGTAGAAACTTTACATTTTTAATTTGAAAATTTTTGTAGAAGCGTAATTTAAATAAAACAATGGACGGTGGCAATTTCGTGAAATGTCGAACGCTTTTGACAGATGATGTTCAATTACGTTTAATAGGATGTTTTACGCAAATATTATTTATTTATGATAAATTTGTAGCAAGTAGTTTTGTTTGTAGTTTTATTTATATACAAAAACGTTAGTAAACGGGCCGCAAGTGTTACTAGAGACTCAAAATATAAACTTTTTTGACATGTTAATATGAAAATGCACAAACACGGTGCTCTGAAAGATCTCATTTGTATAATTATATACTTATTGGTATTTATAAAACATTTTCTAGGTTATATTATTTTTTATTTATCTTATTTAAATTCAGAACCTAAATTTGGTATCGATCAAATGGACATTTTGTCGAATAACATTTTTCCAATTATAATTTTCCAGAAAAAGCACAAACTTTTCAATTGTTTAGAATATACCTTACTTAGCAAAACAACGTTTGCCGGGTCAGCTAGTATACATATAAAAATATAGTTTTAGAATTTGTTGTAAAACATACAAAAATCTAGATGTAATGTTATTAAATGGTATATATATATATATATATATATATATATATATATATATATATATATATATATGTCCACACCTAACGAACGAACACGAACGAACATGATGAATAATATGCGCAGATTAAAAATTTCTAACAAAAGCGAACCACGCGCATATCAAAATCCATGTTCGTTCGTGCTCGTTCGCTTTACGAATACGTGTGGACGCACCTTTACGAATAATCATGCGAATGTGGCCCCTTTTATTAAACTTTGTGTGTCGCAGTGGTAAAAGATCGAAAAATTATCGGTCATCTGCTCAGAGGCAACTTACAAGGATTTTAGTTGGAAACGCGGAGATACTTGCCTAGATTTTTTCGTTTTTTCAATGTAATCTACGTCATACAATCGAACAATTTCTCGGACTTACTATCTTATAAGTAAAACTAGCGGTGCATAGCATCGTGCCTCGAAGCAAATTGCTGTAACTTCCAATATCGTAATTAAACATTTTTAAAAGTTTTTTTTTGAAATTACGATTAAACTTTAGAGAAATTTTAAATTAAAAAAAATAGGCTTTTTTACTATAACTACTTCCAAAACGGGCTAAAAGTAGAAGAAAAAACTTGCATTGATTGCAAAACGATTCCTTTGAGCTCGAGCTTTATGCTCGAAGTTCCAAAGAAAGACCAAACGATTTATTTATGAACTATCTTCTTGTCATTTCTTCTTACTTACTTTATATCATTTAGTCTTACCTTATGGAATAATGGTTTTTGTAACTAGTTACATTTTTTCTCGTTATTATAGTTACAACTTAATTAAAAGACTAACTTGCAGTCAATAAACCTAAGACGAGTAAAAATAATTTCATTAAATTATAATATCATTGAATAAATAAATACATTATCATTTATAAATCAATATCATTAAAGAACAAAGCGAATTAATTATGCAGGTGTACCAAGCAGATTGTGATTGATCTAAAAATTTATCAATAATGGTTATTAACGTAGGGTAGTTACAGTAATGGGCCAAAAATCGAAAATGGAAATTTTTGCATTTCTCCACGTTTTGAAGGTTTCTGAACATTTTGGCATACCTCAGAAAAAATGGATGTGTGTGTGTGTTTTGTGTGCCCGCATTTTTTCGTTCACGTTTTCGGGCGCACGGATCAACCGATTTGAATGGTTCAATAAATATTCGATTCCTATTGACAGGGAGATGTGCTGATTAGTTTTTGGTAAAAGCAGGTCCAGCCATTACGGAGATAAACAGCAAATATAAATCGAGTTTTTGATAGAACGGAGCATCCGATTTGAATGATTCAAACAACTTCCTGCTTGTGTTGACGTACAATTGCTTTTCGAAAAAAAATTATTTCATTTTTTTTTCATTTTTTTTTTTGATTATCGAAAATAATTCAGATTTCAATTTTAAATCTGGTTTAAGTTCTAAAGCCTACTTATATACTTTAAAAAAATAATTCTAATTTTGCAATTCAGTTTATGTAATTTTTATAAATATTAGACAATGCTACAGTATTTATTTATAATAATCTATTTGAAAATATTTAATATTCCTCGAATATTTCGTTACGGTACGGGAAGTTCCAGCAATTTGCCTTAAGGCACGATGCCATACACCACTTGCTTTTAAATATTTTTAAACAAAGTTTATAAAGTTAAAGTTAGTTTATTACAATGTGATAAATTTTGGGAAATAATAGATAGTTTGCAATTTTAAGGGTGCAAAGTCTTTATTCATGGAGTATGTTTTATTATATGTTTTATTGCAGAGTTCTTATGAGACGCAGTCAAATTTTGAAGATTTGTCTCAACCATATTCTCACACCTGATATTGAATATAATCCAAAGGACAATAAAACTTGGCTTTTCACAGCCAATGACTTTAGTGAGGAAGTTTATTCAGTTCAACAGTTCTGCATACGTTTTAAAACTGAAGAAATTGCAAAGAATTTTAAGAAAGCTATTGACGAAGCTCAGGCATCTTTACAAGGTTAATATATGTTTTTTAATATTGTTGGCATATTTCTAGTTTTCAGCATACATACATTCTTTCATATATATATATTTACAATAAGAAATTGTTTCATAATCTTTGTATTAAAAAGATGACCGCATTTTATATGTCGAAACCGAGGATAGGCTATATAAAAATCAGTTTTTTTAAATCAGCATTACTTTTCTATGTTTTTTTTGCTTTTAAGTATTATATAACATTCTGTTCAATTTTTTTTTTTCAAAATTTAGTAACAATCACCACTTGTACTAGTAAGTCAAATAGTTTTATTTCATCATTTTTGATAATTTTCGTAAACTTGAAAATTGAAATGCGAAATTATTTCTGTGAGAAGCTGTTTTAATCCAGGCAATTTTCTCATGCATAACATATAGTTAATAGTGGTTAATAGTATGCTTCATATTAGCATACTCGTTGTATATATCATTTTCAGATATTAAATGGGTAGTTGTAAATTTATTAAGAAGTAGTTGTGAAGATTTAATTTGAGGTTAGACTTTTGAATTAAGTAAAGGAAAATTCGGGAAAGTAAACGATACGGCAAACCAGAATGTATGGTCACTGAGTATTAGTCATTTTGTGAAGAGATAATAACTTGAAATATATTATTTCTTTGTTTTTATTATTTAGGAAGTTTGGATGTAACATTAGATACCTCAAATGATGATAGTGATGTGGAAATAACATTTGAAACTACAGTCACAGAAGAAGAAAAGAATTTAGCTCGGAAGTATCTTTTACCTGATAATTTTTATGCTTATAAATATAGAGATGATTGTAAAGGCTGTAGAGGTTGCCGATCTGATGACTACGATTTTGCCAAGAAAGAATCGTCAAAAGAATCCAAAAGCACAAGTAATGCAGAAAATGTTCAACCTACATCTAGTGCTACTGGTACTGAAATTGATACTCTCACAAACAAATTTAGTTTAACCTCTAGTATACTTGGACAAGATAAGACTAGTAAAGCAGCAGCAAATAACTTTAATTTTAGTTTTACTCAATCTCAGTCCGATACTTCCAAAAATAAAGTCGATTTGTCTCAAAATATATTTGCACCTAAGTCATCTGAACTACAAAAATCTATGTTCAGCAGTGGATTTACATCAGAAAACTCGGATAGTGACTCTTCTCAAAAACCATTTCAGAGCATATTTGGTGGAAATACTCAAAACATTACAAGCAGTAATGATATTTTCAAAACATCAAATCAAAGTAGTCAATCTATATTTGGTGGCAATAAAAATTCATTTTCCTTTGCATCCCAAAACACAAACCAAAGCAACGAGCAAAATAGGGTTATCAAACCCTCTCAATTTGGTCAATCTATATTTGGTAATAAAACTGTGGAAAATCAACAGGTTGATAAAAAGCAAGATAACCCTTTCCTATCAAATAAAAGTATTTTTGGTAATTCTTCGACAGAAACAAATTTAGTGAAACCAATAGACAAAAAGGATGATCAGAAAACCACTTCTGTTCCTGCAAATAAGCCTTTCTTTTCAAATAGCATATTTGGTAGTTTTGGAGGTCCAAACAGTAACAAGATTTCCACTGATAACAGTAAAGGTGTTTTTGGTTCAGTAGGTTTATCAAAAATCGAAATTAAAGATGATGTTCCTATGTTCAAATTTGACTCAGACTTGAGTTTTACTAACATAGCTTCAGCGACGCAGAAACCTGCTTTTGCACAAGGTAAATATTTTTTTTGCAAATTCTTGATATATATATATATATATTATTTATATATATATATATATATATATATATATATATAAAGGTATATATATATACCTTTTGTCGATGATTGCTCAAAAATGGCTGAAAAAATTTCAAAAATTTAGCCATTTGATGTAATTCGAAAAGAACACTGCCGTTGATTAGTTTTGTGCGACAACTAACCGAGCCGTTGTCTTAAAATTAGCACAAGAATTATCAAAAATATTCATCTAAATTTTAGCCAAAAATTTTGAATCGATTTTGAAAATTCAAACTGTTGAAAAGATATCATTCGGTAATAGTGTTGATTAGTTTTTGACAAAGATCGGCCAGGCCAGGTCAGGTTTATGTACTAGGAATGTGTTTGTTGTGTAATAAAAAAAATCGTACAATATTTAATAATCTGGTTAATAATAAGTTTCTCAAGGTATAACTACCTTAAATTGTAGCTGGCAAAATGTTACAACTTGTTATGCTTTTAGACATTTTACTGCTTATTAATATTTTACTAAACTTTTTGTTAATTTATTATTATAAATAATTGTACTTCGATATATGCCAAATTTTAGGTGACAGTAACTTTTCCTTTGCGGGTGCTGGAACACCTCTTTTCTCTTCTCTGAAAAAAACAAATTCACCAAATATATCGCTAAATAGTTCAGCGAAAGACAAGAGTGATGATGAAAACCAAGATGAAAGCGCTGTTAATGAAGAAGATTATGATCCTCATTATGATCCAATAATTGAACTACCAGATACCATTGTAGTAAGCACCGGAGAGGAAGATGAGGTACATATTGCATGAAATGTATTAATCAAGTTTATGTTTTTGCTAGAAAATTTGATTTGTTTACGATTTCAAGTAATTCTGAATTAATTGACACCAAAAATTTGTAGAAGTATGTGCGTATGTATATGAGACAAAAATTGACTTTAGTCACTGTTTCTTGTTGAAAATTTTTCTTATCTAATTTGTGGAAAGTTTTTGTGATAGTGTTCATAGATTAAAACTCTAAATGAACATCTGAAAGTATTGTAGGTCTACTACAATTGATTTAATTACAAACATTTATATGTTAATTTAAGTTAGTTATAAAATGGGTTTTGCGCACAGTATACATATATTGTGTATAATATAGTTGGAAATCACATTTATTAATTCTTAATTGAAAATCAAATGAAAACTTTATTTTCATATCCATGAAATAATTATCATTAGCAATATGCGACATACATCTGGTTCACTAATGTTAATATGCACCAATTTAAGCAGATTTGAATTTTAGTTAAATTTTGGTCATAGGTATATTTAGTTAAATGTTGGCTTTGAAAATATATTTTGTCATTAACGTTTTTTGAAAACGCTCTTATTCCCTCAAAGCTCGTACCTCGAATTTTGCTCGTATGCCGAAGTAATGAAGCGCTCTTTTAGCGGATCGTATCTCGAAACTCGTATGTCAGGCCACTCATTAGTCAGTCATAAAAAACGGGTTTTTATTTTCGCATTTGACAAAGATGAAAATATTATACTATTCTGATTTAGTTTATCATTAACGTATACATATAGATCAATGATTATCAGTTCACTAATAAATGTTACTATACACATGTTTAAAGTTTAGGATTGTTTTATTTTTTTTTTTGCTTACCACTAAAACGTTACAATTTTCTTCTTAGACAAAATTGTTCTGCCAAAGAGCAAAACTATATAGATACGATACAGATTCTAAAGAATGGAAAGAACGAGGCGTTGGTGAATTGAAAATACTACATCACCCAACTGCTAATACATATAGATTGCTACTTCGAAGGGAACAGGTAAATTTGAGATACTGGATTAATGTATTATATTATTTTGGATAAAGTAGTAGAATACTAAATAATGTTTTTTGTATTTCCAAACACAGTATCATGTTAACATTGATTTTTAAATATGTTATATATTTTCTCAATGCTTTGAATTTTAATGTGATTTTTACACTAATGCTTTGAATTATAATGTTATTTTTAATCATTTCATTTTCAATAGGTTCATAAATTAGTTTTGAATCAATTGCTGACAAAAGATTTCGTATTGAACACCTTGAACCTGTCTGATAGAGCGTTCTGCTGGGGGGGTATAAATCATGCAGAGCAGCCAGGAACAGAGGAAAAGTTGGCTGCAAGATTCAAAAACCCCGATCTTGCCATGGAATTCAAAAATTTAGTTGATTCCATAATAAGTGTAAGCAAGAAATTTATTCAAAAACGAATTAAATACATTTCTTTATTATTGAATATTTATTTTTTATAATATAAATATTTGTTTATTTTTAGAATCTTAATACAAATACTGAAAGTTCTCAGTTAGATGATGAATACAATGATGATGAAAATGTTGATGAATATGAAGATGACGATGAGGTAATGTCAATGACAAATTACCATTTATTATCAATTTTTGTTAATTTTATCTATGCAGGTATTACTACAAAATTTATAGAAGAGTTAATAGAGCACTTTTCATTTTGGTCTAGGGTCATAATTGACCCAGACCTTTTTACTTGTATTTTTGTGAAAATTTTTGCTATAGATGTAAATACAGTTATTGTAAAAATTGTGCAAATTTATGTATTTTTTATGAGTTGATAGATTGTGTAATTATGCAATTATCTATAATTCTAAATAGCTTTTCTGTTTACTTATTTTGCATTATAAAATGAATCTCATTTCTAGGATGAGGAAAGATCAGTGATGTTTCATAGAAATGCTGTATTGATGGGTAGTACACCAAAGGCAAAACAGTTCTCAGAAATTGGAAGGGGAGCATTACAAATAGTATATGATTCTGATTTATTTGGTGCCAGAATCAAATTTTATTCCGATGATGGAGAGTGTCTTTCTAATACAATTATTGCCCTTAATACAACAGTGACGGTAAGTGCAATACAAATTTATTATAAACATTGAGGATGAAGTTTATGCTTTCGCCAGAAAATTCGACTTGCTTTTGTATTCTCGACGTCTTAAATTATTTTGAATTGTTTTATTTCAAAATTGGTAAAATTTAAAAGTAATTTGATTAACTTGATAAGGTTTTGCGTTGATTAGTTTTTCGCGGCGATTATTGGTACCGGTTCTTCACAATTAGCAGATAAGTCCAACATTTTTTGAAAGCTTTTTAGCACACAATTTGTGACTAGATTTTAAAAATTCAAAAACTGTTTGATAGATATTGGTGGCATTAACCAATATCTTTCAGCACCAACTCGGTACTGATTGAATTTTGGTAAAGAACGTCTGGGCTGTTTCTTCGTAATATATTGTTGAATATTGTTTTGACGTTTTTCGATATGGAAAAACTATGTATAGCGATAGAGTTCTTGGTATTAATAAACGCACTAAAATATTAGAGGTCTATGATTGATTTAGTTTACTGGTTTAGTTTTAAAAATTTTGGCGTAATGGGTTTCGCTTTTAGAAAATACAATGTGTATTAATTAGGCGCGTGCTTGTTTTTTGTCCAATAATGAGTAATATTTAAACTATTTATCTAAAATAATGTGTGTAGCAAATTCGCACAGGAGTCAATAATTTGCAATAGTCTCATATTAATGTGCAATTCGGTTATCATATAAATTACTCATAAATTAATATATTGATTTCTTATCAATGAAGTTTATTTAGACATGCTGGACAGTTTATGCAACTTGTCCCAAAGTAAAATTCTATTTTGACCTAATTTTATTACTTTTATTTTTTTAACTTCTCGAAAAAGAAGTGTATGTCTTCCCGACGTTTCAAGCCATTCTGAATCGAATGAGACCAAATTTGGAAAAAGTATGTGTTTGTGTGATGTGTGTATGTGTGTGTGTGAACAGATTTTTTGCCGTAAATCGAAGTTTTCTCAAAAACGACTGGACCGATTTCAAAAATTTAAAAGTAATTCGATGTATCTCGATGAGGGCTAGCGTTTATCAATTTTGCGCGACAGTCAGCCAGCCGTTTCTTTGTAATTTGGAAAAAGTGTAAAACTTTTCATCCACATTTAAGCTCATACTACCGAATCGATTTTAAAAAATCAAAAACTTTTCGAAAGTCATTAGTTGGGATTTAGGTGAAAATCTACCGAGTCGTTTTTTTATAGTTAACTGTTGAAAAAAAATTTAAGTCGATTTTCGTGGAAATTTTTTAGCGATATATATCATGGTCTTATAGAACTTACTGAAATATTGCGGTCTTACAAGTAGTTTAATTTTTAAAATTAATCAAAGTTTGAGAAAATGAGTTGTTCTTTTGACGTTTGTTAAAATTAAAATTAGACTATTCACTTGGTATAACGATAGAGTACTTAGTCTTAATGAACATAGTAAACCATTAAAGACCTACGGAATCTGGTTCAATTATAAAAATTATTGATTTTTGAAATTTTGTTCTTAGAAAATACTACCAGTTAATGTGTTCGTTCTATTTTAATTATGTGTAATAATTCCACTTGGAATACTTTTAATCACTTATAAATTAATTTTTATTGATTAAGTCGATTATTTACACATATCGGGAAGTTCATGCAACTGGCCTCAAGGCAAAATACCGTTACCAACTAGTTAAGGATTTAGGGCAACCAGATATGTTACCTACAACAAATGAGAAAAGAATCTGCTTTAAAAACAGACTTATAAAATTCTTACTAAGATAGTATTTTGGTGTAGTACATGCAAATTATTTTATCCTCAGATATCAGAAACCGAATGTACATGGAGTGCTATGGATTATTATTCAGAAATGCCAGAACAGAAACTATTAAAAGCATGCTTTGAATCAATAGATGATGCTGAAGAGTTCTTCACCACCTTCAAAGAAGGTGTTAGTTTTGCTCAAGAAGCAGATATTGTAGATTCATTTCAAAATTCAACATAAACTATATAATTTATATTGAAAAAAATCAAAATATTTTTTATAAGACTTTTCAAAAATTGTTTCATAAGCAATATAAATTATTTTTGTTTGTAAATTATTGTTCATTTTACAAAAGTATTTGTAATTTAGGTCATAGATTTGTTTTATGTAGTTAATTGTTTTTTTAATAAAATATAGTACTTTTAAATCCGCCAGTATTTTGTTTCAATTGATAATAATCGATAATAGTAATTCATATGAAATAATTAACAGGTTTTTTATGTAATTTATATCACTGAACTGTTGAGCACAGAAATATTTTACATAATTAAGTATTTAGACAATTCAATTTAGTGATAAGTTTTTGAAAGTCTTTGATTTATGTTTGTATATATATATATATATATATATATATATATATATTCATTCTTATTTCCATTATATGTAAATATTGTTTGATTTTGTTTTCTTCGACACATCTGCAAAGTGTTAAAATGATGTAATTCAGTTAAACAATTTAATAACAAATTCATTCAATATCTTATTTTTAATATTCAACTTCTTACAGTTTTACCTACATATACATATAAAATAACAATTTATTGTGAATGTCTTGCATGTGCAATATATAAAACTTAATATTTAAATGATTCGATAGTAGAGATCCATGAAGATACATGTGTCCATGTGGGAAAAGATTTCAGATAATCGCTGAATTCTTTAGACTTGTGCACATCTAAGTGCATTAGGTGACTTGTCAACGCAATGTCTATTTTGGCACCTGACATTTGGACTGGATGCTGCGGAAATTATTGAAATTTATATTGGTGTAATATGCAGGTATGTATATATGTATATATATATATATATATATATATATATATATATATATATATATATATATATATATATATATATATGAGTGTGAGTTCTTGAGGGCGATACATCAAACAAAGAAAAGCCAAAGATTTATAAAATAATCTTTATTTCCAAACGTTTCGACATTCAATTTAATGTCATCATCAGTGGATCTAAAAACAGTATGAAAATTAGTATATCTAGGTAATTATAATATATGTGGATTGGTAAAGGAACTATACAATAAGAGAAAATTTAACAAACAGCAACACTTAACGACAAACCAAATATAAAAGATAGGAAAGGTAGTAGAGATTAGAATTAAATAAATAATTAAAAAATATAGGCAAATATATATATATATATATATATATATATATATATATATACAAACATACAATATATGTATGTATGTATGTTTGTATATATATATATATATATATATATATATATATTGCCTATATTTTTTAATTATTTATTTAATTCTAATCTCTACTACCTTTCCTATCTTTTATATTTGGTTTGTCGTTAAGTGTTGCTGTTTGTTAAATTTTCTCTTATTGTATAGTTCCTTTACCAATCCACATATATTATAATTACCTAGATATACTAATTTTCATACTGTTTTTAGATCCACTGATGATGACATTAAATTGAATGTCGAAACGTTTGGAAATAAAGATTATTTTATAAATCTTTGGCTTTTCTTTGTTTGATGTATCGCCCTCAAGAACTCACTCACATATTTCAACATCAAAATTAACTACTAAATCATATATATATATATATATATATATATATATATATATAATAAATACAGGTGTTAGATGTATCTGATCAAGATAAGTAACAATTAACTCAATTAATTAAATTAAAAAATTCATTATTTCAAATAATTAATACATATTATTTCTTCTATAGTTTACCTCAACATCAATAGTGAAAGACAGATCAGTCTTTTGGGTTCCATAACTATAATAAATAAAATACGTGGGTCGGTTACCCCACATCGGGCCTGAATTTGGGTTCTCTTCAGTCACGTCCCAAGCAACTACATTGACATTGTCGTATGGAGATATGAAGACACCCATATGTGATGGTCCTGATTTTAAAAAAATAATTTATTATAATCAAATATATTATACACGTTAGGATCAAACATAGAAGACTAAAAAAGTACCTTCTATTGAAAAATGATAACGTGTCCTTCCATCATTAATAGCCGTCTTGTTTATGAGAACTAACTTTGCAATATCGTTTGTTTCAATTAATGGACTTTCCATAGGAACCCAATGGCTATAATTGCTGTAAAAATGAATTACATGAATATTTATCACATTAATAAAACAAATAAATTAAAGTGTTATAATATTCTTAAATATAACTAATTTTATATCATTATTAAAAAACTAAGTTGGGATAAAACTCATAGAATCAATTTTGTAAAAAGATGGTTGAGGTATTCAGCCCTTTATAATAAAAGGCACTGATGATTAAAGTTAAATAAGTAGATTAGAGCTCTTTATTAAAATATCTTATTTCTTTATTATTTTAATGCTAATTGTAACAATACAATAGAACCTTATGAAACATTATTTTTCTAACCTTTGTTTATGCATTCTAGATGTGTAAAAAGGCAGTCCACAAAATAGTTCGTTTTTGCACCACTCTCCGACTGGAATGGCATCTTTCATCCAGGGAACTTCCGATTTAATAAAACCAGGACTATTTCTGTCCATGGGCAACATAAACACTCCAGATTCGTTTGCTCTTAAAGTACCGTCTTCGTTATGGAGTTTTCTTGTAGAATGCTGGTAAAAAAAGCAACAAATGAGATTTATATCGAGAAAAACTGTAACTGAAGTAATTTGGCATTGGGATTGAGTGATACTTTCAAAGTGGATTTCAATGATTGAATCAAACAAAGGTAATTTATTAAAATAAAATATAAGCTAATTACAACAGAATGAAAATCCTAATATCAATTTGATTGGAATGAATGAATTAATTAAAAAATTAAAAACATTAATATGAATTAATATATTCTAACATGCATGCTATAATAAAGAAAATTTTATATACTTCTATAAATGTTGAAGAAAGACATTATGAATTATTTAAATAAAAAGTTCTTACAAAAACCCAATATCTTTGCGGTGTTGGCATGTCAGGTGAATTATCATATGGAAAACCTAAAGGCGTAGCAATCATAATGAAAAATGCTCCAACTATTGCCAGCCCAACAAATATCGTTAGCACTGATCTTCGCAATAAACAAATTAAGGGCACCTGTAAAAATATTTTAAATTTATTATTTAAATTTTTTTTCTTATTGCATATTATTAGCTAATAAAACATAACGCTGCAATTAAAAGTTGTATGGTGCAAAAGTTGAAATGAGACTTTACTCAAATTATAATCGAACATTTTATAGAATAATCTCGTTCAATATAAATCGAATTTTATTTATTAATGATTAATAAGTTTTCCTTAACAGTCATTTGTATTAAAAGATTTATTATTATTTAATATAGCTTCAGGTTTTTTCGTATTGAGTTATATTATATTAATGTCCATCACACTTTTAAATAAGTATAATACTTTTATTTCTACTCACAATAAAACCACCCATGACCAGGCTCAAAAACGTGGAAAGAATTCCAATCAGAAGATCAGGATTATGTTCAGGACCGCTGCGACCAGTTATGGGGACCAGAACTCCCAAACCCGTTAATGCAAGGTACAAAACAAAGGTGAGTGCAGGTAATTGGAAAATTAGATGAGCAAATAACCATTTTTGTCCTAAAATAGAAAAAGAAACAGTTTACCAATAAATAAAATTTCTGAATAATTTCTTCTTTTTGTAAATACTCATATATTTCATTGAAGTTACTTTAAACGTTTAAATAAGAAGAAAAATTAGTACGTATGTGTAATAGTAACAGTAAAGTTCTATAGTATTGAGATTATATAAATTTTAATTTAGTTATTTAAGTATATTATATTTATTATAAGATAACTAAACAATCTTTGTTGAATTTCTGAAAGTATTTAATAATGTCGATCAAATATTAAAATATAAAAACAAAGCGTTTCTGGAAGGATATCTGCTGGAGGATATTGCAAATATGAACCACGGTTCATAAAAATATTGGAAGTAAAGATAATTAGAAGCAAAATTACATAAAAAGAGTGACAAATGAAATTATATATTTAGATATTTTAATAAAGTAAATAGTTCTAACTTTTATTCTAATTTCAGAAAATATTATAGAGGCATAGTATTCTACCTTTGTTCTGGAAGCCAGTGAGTAAATTAAAAGCTGCTGATAGTTCGTAAAACAAAACGACGACCAAAAGTAAATAGGCTGATCGTACGGAAGCTGCCGTTAATGCTAATAATATGAAAAGCAGCATAACACACAAACAATGCATCTGCAACTGCACAAAATGCCCAAATGTCAGTCTTCTCTGAAAAAAAGGGAACAATACATATTCGCGAACGCACGTAAGTTATTTCATATAACTGCATATATAACTATGAATTGCTGTCGAAGTGCTAAAAAACGTTAAACAAATATATACATCTTTGAAAATGTAAGGACACAACTCTCTCTTTTAAATGCACTTGTCCTTTTTGCAACATTTAATAAATGATATTAAAGTTACAGAAGTTTTGAGAGCACGGTTTATCCCATCGTCAGTGTAAAAAAAAACATAAACAATTCATTTTAATTATATATGGTCACAAAATATTCAACCATTAATATGTGACGCCTGATAGCAAAGCAGATTTGTTTTTCTCAATAACAATAGTTGTGTTAAAACTAAATAAAGATACTGCTCCAAGTACGACAATTGGCCAGAATCAAACAATTAGAAAAAAGCAAATTCCGTCGAAATTGAATTTTGTTATTCAACAATTTTATTATTCGATTATTTGTTATATTTTATATAAAATATAAGATAGCTTTAAAACTTATATAACAATTATGTTGAATTTTTTTCATAATTATTTAAAAACTAGATAAAAGCCCGACAGACGTTGTCCTGTACTTATATTTACATTTTAAAAAATATTATGTTTTTTACACTACAGTCTATACCGAAATGTATATACATCTACGCATATGAATTTTAAATGTACAACTGCTTTAAATAAAATGATGAATATCTGCTTTTTTGAAAAACATTATAAAATATTAATATAAAATTACACTACGGAGAGGGATGTCATCTCCCCGGGAAATGGCAAAGGAGTCTAAATTATTTTCACTTTTGAAATTGAGAGTAAGATAAACCTAATTTCAAAATTTCATATGAGTTGGAGCACAGTGAAAAAATTCAGACCCAAAACGCTCCATTGACTTGAGTAAATATTCCGTATTCGATGGCAAAAATATGAAAATATGAAAATACTAACGTTTGTATGTGAAAGAGAAAAGGGCTGCTTTTAGGGTTTTCCCGGCAATTATTCGACTTTTTATCGCCGTAAGAACCATTCTTGAACTTGAACGAACATTTTAAAAAAAGAATTGGCCAAATTGGTCCAGGCGTTATTGAGTTAAACGCTTACCAACACATTTTGCGATTCATTTTTATATTATAGATATAGTTAATTCGCACTTATTCCAGGCAATCAAAAAGTTCATTTTCATATTTTTTGGTTATTTTCGTAAAATTTAAAATAGAAGTTTAAAATTATGAATTTGAGAAGCTATTAAAACCCGCCTTTCTTATAATAAGCATACTATAATCGTACAAAACTTTTTCAGATATTTGATAGATAGTTGCAATTTTATTATCAAGTTAGAGCGAAGATCCAATTTAAACCAATAATTTTCGAAAACCCGGAAAATTCTGGGACAAAATATCCAAATCCGGGACAAATATTGCTTTTAGAAAAACCCGGGGCGCAAGGTAAAATGTGAATACAATTACAATAGCTTTCTTTCGTTTTGCTATTAGCATCATTTTTCATTATTTACAAATTTGCATTTTACAAACAGCTTAATTGGTCATTTCGAAAATTAAAAATATTTGATGTTAAATCAATTATACGGAGCAATTTGTTTTCATCTTCAGGGACAGATGACGTCGTTAGAAAAAATTGGCTGTGTTCATCAAAAATAGATCTATTTTGATGATATTGCTGCCACATCTCACCCAAATTTACAATTATATTATACTTTATTGTATAATAAATTAATAAATAATATGAAAGAAGGTATGAAAGTTTCTTGACAAAATAATAAATAAATTCCTACCTTCTTAAATCGTAGTAGGGCCATCGAAGCAAATGCCAAGACAATAAAAGTAGGCAAAACGTAAATTCCTGTAATCAACCAAGGCCTAGAATACCAAGATAATGGCCTTCCACACATGTCTAAAATACAGGCAATCGAAGCACTCGTGACTAGGGCAGCAAGCCAACCTCCCACCTGAGTCAAAATTGATATGCCGAATTCTTTACTCATAGAACCTATACACAATCCTAAAAATATAATAATATTAATAAAAAACAACGTAGTTATAAAAAGATGTTTAGTTATAACATTTACCTTCATCATTAGCCATAGAGTTTAATAATAACGCGATTGTTATGAGTGTACAGGCTGCAACGAAAACGTTCAGTATTGTTCCTGTTATTTCAGTATAAGTAACCATGAATAATCCGAGAACGTCATAAAATACCATTTCTCCCTCAGCATGAGCCTGCAAATATTTTGGTAAAATAAATAGAAAATTGATTTCTTTTAATTTCTGAGTGAGTAAAAAGTAGTTTAGAAAGATATAGTGCAATCGATTTGAAAGGGGGTGTATGGGTGCCTGGCCATAAAACCAACTGCAACATGGTATTTATATGATTTACAAAAAAAAAAGACTTTCGATTATTTCCAATTTATTACTTCTGCCAAATTATGAAAAATTAATATATTGGATGTTCTCGAGAAGACCTTTAAAGTAGCATTTACCAGGGTGGAGCCGTTATTGTATGACAAGGAGCCCATGCCCTTTCTTCATTTTAGAAAAAAAAAATCATATTATAATCTACTAATGAAGTAATAAAGCAATGTTAAATGCTCATCAATTTCTTTCAATTGATGAGCATTTAACAAAATATATTTTAGTATCATATTGTGTTAATTTTATCAAATTTTGTTTCAGGCGATAACTATTGAGGAAAAGCATAATGATGCACATGAACGAAATATTTAATTTAACATGGTATACCGCAGTATCCTTAATTTCTTCAGCATTTCCTAAGTCATTCAACATTGCGACTAAGTTGTCTCCTGTATGCTGGTAAGTTCCCAGTTTTATAAGATCTATACTGTCATATTTGGTGTGGTAAACATAACCGTTGCTGGCATGTGCAAAATCGACACCTAAGAAATAAAAAAAATCAATAATCTTAATAAAAATACTTATGTAAAAGAATATAATATATTCTTTAACATAAGTATTTTTATTTAGTTATACAATAAGTATATCTATAATATAAAATGAATCGCAAAATGTGTTGTTAAGCTCATAACTCAACAACGCCTGGATCAATTTGGCCAATTCTTTTTCTAAAATGTTCGTTGAAGTTCAAGGATGGTTCTTACGACGAGACAAAATCGAATAATTGCCCGGAAAACCCTAAAAACAGCCCTTTCTTCTTTTTCACATACAAACGTTTTCCAACTAAAACGTAGAATCAATTTGAGTTTTATTGCTATTATATAAAGTTCATTTTAAATTACAAAAACTCACTATTGGCGAATGCACGTAAGTTATTTCATATAAACTGCATATATAATTATGAATTGCTGTAGCAGTATCAAAAAAGTTAATCGTGATGTTTATATATTTAAAAATATAAAGACACTACACTCATAGATAAATAAGTATAAAAGACTACACTATATAAAGCATTTTAAATTACAAAAACTCACTGTATACTCCTCCTAAACGATTATTCGGATTTTTATAAATCTTTCTGAAGTTTGTTAAGGGAATTTTCTAGGATGTATGTGATTATAAAGTACTGGGATGTATGTGCAATATTGTAGAATTAAATGAAAACTAGTTGGTTTGGTATTTAGCCTTGAGGCAAGTTACATGAACTTCCCGATATGTGTAAATAATCGACTTAATCAAAAAAAAGTGTCAATAATATACTTCATCAATCCTACTTTAAAAAAAACGATAATAATTTTAGCAAAGTTTGAAGAATTTTTAAAATTAAACTACTTGTCGTAAGGCTGTAATATTACAGTAAGTTCTATAAGACCATGATGTATATCGCCAAAAAAAGTTCCATGAAAATCGGCTTCAATTTTAGGATGAGCTTAGATGTGGACGAAAAGTTTAACACTTTTTTTCAAATTGCAAAGAAACGGCTTAGCAGATCGTCACACAAAACTGACAAACGATAGTCCTCACCGAAATACATCAAATGGCTTTTAAATTTCTAAAATCGGTTCAGGCGTTTTTGAGAAAACGTCGATCAAAGGTCTAATTTTGACAAATGCCAAAAAAACGATACCAATTTTTGCAAACTTTGACGAATTTTTAAAGCTGAACCAGTTGTCGTAGGGCCGTAATATTTTAGTATGATCTGGAAGACTATGGTATCTACCGTCAAAAAAATAATCATAAAAATCGTCGAATTTTTTTGTTTAAAACTTTATTACAAGAAAACGGCCCGGCCGATCTCTACCAACGATTTTTGAATTTTCAAAATCGATTCAGAATTGCGGGCTAAAACGTGGACAAAAAACTTTTCACTTCTCTGCTATTTACGAAGAGACGGCTTGGCCGATCGTCGCACAAAACTGACAAACAATAGTCCTCATCAAAATACATCGAATGGCTTTTAAATTTTTGAAATCGGTCCAGCCGTTTTTGAGAAAACGGCGATTTATGGCAAAAAATCTGTTGGTGCACACGCACACACACACACACACACTTTTTTTCCAAATTTGGTCTCATTCGATTCAGAATGGCTTGAAACGTCGAGAAAACATAAAATTAGCGAATCGGATTTTTTGATGAAAACATAAACTTCTCCTTCGGGAAGTTAAAAATTGCAAAAAACGAAGAATAATTTAAAAAACAATAATTATTATTTTTAGGTAAACGGTAAATATTAGTATATTATATTAAAAGTTGTAGACATGGGCACAGGACATCGTCTGTCGGGTCATCTAGTAGTTTTATAAAATTCTCGTATTCTGTTTTACTACATAGTAAGATAAAAGTAAATAGAGTGAGGTTGCTCAAGTCATACCACCTAAATCCTACCCCTGCAATATTATGTCTGATAATTATAATAATTTATGTTTGAAACCGTTGAATAGAACTATTTTGTTGACTAAGCAAAATACAGACTGGTCGACTTTGTGAAAAAGAAATAAAAAATAATAAAAAAATAAGTGATTTAATAAGTTTCTACTAAAATTTTGAATTTAGTTTTACCCGCCTTATTTGCGCCTTAATTGTACCGCACATAATAAATTTTTTAATAAAAATGAATTTAGTGATCGTTGAAGCCAACTATAGATTTAACAAACATCAAAAAATTTCTTTTAATTTAAATGAACTTAATATTACAGCATTATTTTCTGTATTCACTGACGTCCGTATGATGTTATTTAAACGAGAAATTCAAAAATGAATAATAAATAATAATATTAAGTGTCAATAAAAATAAATAAGGAGTAACTTTATCTATAATATAAAAATTATTATTAATACAATAATAAAAGTCATAATGGTAATAACTAAAATAATATTATTGAAAAGTGTTCATTTTAACGAGGAACGAATTTTGATGTTGATAAAATCGGTGATGCGAAGTTGTAGACTATTCTATTGTAAAATGAAATTAATTACATTTTCACTAGTTGTAATAAATTTGCAATTCAATGTAGAAGCATTTAAAAATATATTCCAAATGTCGTCTATAACTTACCCGGTATATGACCGAAATCTCTAAAAATTCTAAAATCTGTGTCCGATGGAATCAACCCAGATTGAAATAATTCTTCGGCAATTGCTTGAGCATATGGATGCGGTGCAAAATCGGCATAGTGCTAAATGAAAATAATTTTATATTATATATTGCATCAATTAGAATATTTAAATATATAACTTAAGTATATAATTTGAGTATTTAGGACCTAAAATCACTCACATCTAAGAGCCAAGGATGTTCTGGTCCTGCTTGAAACATAATTTCTTTACCACCTGAACCAGCACCTTCCAAATTAATAAAAGCTCGGATATTCTTTGCCCATTTGTGTTGCGTAATAAACCCATGACTGGCCTAAAAATGTTGATAATAATGCGAAATAATTAGAATTCCATAAAATCGCTCGTGAAAATATTTAGTAAAATTCGATCAAAATGTTGATGCCCGTTTGAAAATCAGTCATAATTTAATCTTTAGAAATATAAATCATTCGACATTTCTTTTCAAAACATACGTAAACCAGCAATCAATGGCACCGAATACAAAAATTATATTTGAATTTGGAAAATTTGTGGAAAGAAAAACTATCCTTGTATTATAAACATAAAAATTGTCTTCACAGAAATACCGATCATGAGAAATTGTACAGAAAAAAATACTGTATTGTATATAAAATAATTTATTTGTTGACAGATTTAGACGGGCTTTAAATTAATGATATCGTAAATTAATGTAAGAAATACAGCCTGTTTTATTTGTATTGGTTGTATTTTTCCAAAATTTCATACGTAAAACGTCAAACATGAATATCTTAATATTCCCGGGAATTCTTGTAATAAACTGTAGTAACATTCAATTATTTTCGTATTTTTTTGTCAGTTTAGATTTTTATTTTGTTTCATTGGTCAGCTCTAATGACAAGCGTTTGTTTTGTAATTATAATATTTTATACCTTTTATATTTCGAAACCAGTTTCATGAAGAAATTTTTTTAAAAAAATTGAAATGTTTTGAAAAAGTTACACACAGAAGAAAATTGAAGAATAATCAGATGTAAGTCATCTGAATATAATATTTTAAAAAAACTGGAAAAATCACAACAATCATGAAGGCATTTGTCATTTTTATACTTCTATTAAAAATTTTCAATGCAACTTGTTGGATGCCTATAGGTCGCTTTAGGCCAAACACTCAATGCGAAAATGTGGTGATGAATATGCCATCAGATCCATTTGATACGGAAGAACAAATTCTCAGCGACAATCAGTTTCAGCAGGATGAAGACCCATTATTGCAGAAAGACAAAAAAGGTAGCTTCGAGGATGAAGATTCTAGTTTATACATGGTAGATGATCCACTGAATGCGATTTTGCATGAAGATGACAAAGCTAAAAAGGATATAAAATTAAAGATCGTTCCAGTAATTTAGAAAGTGAATTAAATGAACAACAAAATTCCGAAATTTCGTATGAAAAACTAGACGAACTTTCGAAAACATCCAGTGATGAGGACAATAAAATTATATCGAACCAGGAAAATTCTGAGGATAATATAGATACAGTCCTGGAAAACATTGAAAATGCTAATGATAAGCCGACACACAAGAAACAAGGGTTAGTTAAAATGATAAATTCCAAGCGACACGTAAACCATCCTTCAAATCAAAAGCAATGTTGTACGGCCAAAGGAAACAAATTGCAAGATCATAAGAAAATAGCCGCTACTAGAAACACTGACACTGCATTGAAAGATGATATTAGTGAGTATAGCAGGAAGAAAAATATCGGAACAAAAGAGAAAATAATTGATAGTTTGGATTCACAAAATATTGCCAGGGAAGAAAAACTAATAAATTTTCAGGAAAACTCTGATACTGATGATATTAAAAACGAACTAGATAATGGTGATAACAGCAACTCCGCAGATGCACAAAACGAAGAAATAGCAAAAAAGTTATTACTACTAAAACAACAAGAACTCTTGGACCAACCACCAGTTATTAGAACGGATAAACCAAAAGAATCTCAGCATTATTCAAACACTGCGAAAACTACCGTAGAAAAAGATTTGGAAGAAGAGGAATCCGAGTTCCCTTCAAAAAATCGTAATATTGTTGATAGTTTGAATTCGAAGCGAAGTGTGAAACACCACTTAAAACAACACCAAAATTCTAAAGTTAAAGATGAGAATTTGAAAGATCCAAGCAATACCATTGATACAGAAGATAATAAGAACATTGAAGCTGGAGAAGATATTTCGAATGAAAATAATAAAGGTAAGCAAGTAAATTTGGATGATGAAAACGAAAATCAAATCGTAAATGGTGTTGAAGCAGAGAATGATTTGTCGAGCATAAAAAAACAAAGGCCAGAAAATTCTAAAAGAAATATAAAAAATCGTCCGCTTCATAAGAAAAATTGTAAGGTCAAAGAGCGCAAATTAAGAGACTCACAAGAATCGTCTGATTCAGACATTACAGTGATGTTACTAAGACCTTATGTAGGATACAGAGGCCATGACATGCACCAACCAGTCAGAGAAGAGTTGGACAGCGGAACTCCAGATATATTATTATACGACATGATTTCTGGCAGTGCCGAAGCCGTAATGAAGTCAGAATCGGCCTCGGAAATCAAAACTGGCCAAAGTAAAACATTATTTAAACGGGATACATTATATAATGATATTCAAAGCTTAAATAATAACCTCCGAAAACTCCAAGAAAAAAATCAAAATCAGGGTAACAACAATAATGAAGAAAGGATGTAGCAAATTATGAATACATTTCGAAGATCATTCTGAAAAAAATACATAAGTCTTCATCATGAAGCAAATTCATTTTGAATCTGGTGAAATATCAAGCCAGATCTCAGATCCTGATTGGAATGATGGTCGAGTCGAGTCAGTCATTGCGACTGATTGATCAAGAAACAGTTCTAAAACGGTGATTAGTGAAAATATTGTAGACAGCGGCTAATTGGACAGACAATGATCTGTTTTAGCGATATTAATTACGACTTCCTCATTCCAACATATTCAAAATATTATCCGTTTTAACTATTTGTGTTGCAAATCCGATGTATTTTATATATTATGCTTTATATATTAATGAACAGTTTCAAATACAATTTATATAGAATGATTTGTTACAAAATTTATAATTTTTTAATAAAACAAAAAGGGTAAAATTCCTCAGATGATTCAGCTCACACACACCCACATATATATTATAATATAATGTATTTATATTATAATTTATATGTATTTCTATAAAGTTAATAATAATAAATATTTTTGGAAAATTTGGATTGTTAGTGAGATTTTACTGTAATAATTGCTAATATTCTTTTCTCTTAGTGGTTTTAACTACACATTATATCATTGAAAGTTTTTTTTCAGTGCATACAAGGTATTTTTAGATTTGTTACTTTACTACCTTGTGAAAAATTTAGTCATGTTCCGATTGCTTAAGTTTTATCAATGAGTTTATTCTAGTGCCTTATTTTTTCTCTGGTAATACAAAATTAATGTATTTTCAATATGATATTTCACGGTAAGATAGATTGCAAACTATTTTGAAACACTATACTACTATTCCATACGTAAACTAGTTGGTATTGGTATTTTGCCTTGAGGCAAGTTACATGAACTTTCCGATATGTGTAAATAATCGACTTAATCAATAAAGAATAAATTAATTTATGAGTGATTAAAAGTATTCCGAGTGGATTTATTGCACATAATTAAAAACGAACGAATACGTTAACTCGAAGTATTTTCTAAAAGCAAATGTTCGAAAATCAACAATTTTTATAATCGAATCAGTTTCCGTAAGACTTTAATAGTTTAGTATGTCTATTAAGGCCAAGTACTCTATCGTTATACCAAGTAAATCGTCTAATTTTAATTTTAACCAACGTCAAAAAAACTACTCATATTCTCAAACTTTGATGAATTTTTAAAATTAAACTACTTGCCGTAAGGCCGTAAATTTTTAATAAGTTCTATAAGACCATGATATATATCGCCAAAAAAAGTTCCATAAAAATCGACTTAATTTTTTTTTCAACGGTTAATAACAAGAAAGAGGCTCGGCAGAACCTAAAACTAATCAGTATCATTCCCAACTAATATCTTTCGAACAGTTTTTGATTTTTTAAAATTCGGTAGTATTAGCGAATGTGGACGAAAAGTTTAACACTTTTTTCCAAATTACAAAGAAACAGCTCGGCTGATCGTCGCACAAAACTGCAAACCGATAATCCTCATCGAGAGACATGAAATGCCTTTTAAATTTCTGAAATCGGTTCAGTCGTTTCTGAGCAAACGTCAGTGAAAGGTCTAATTTTGACAAACGCCAAAAATTTTGATACTAATTTTGATGAAAACATAAACTACTCCTTTGGGAAGTTAATAATAAATAAAATATGTTATTTATCTTCTAATTGCGTTAATTATCATTATTCTCGAGAATTAGAAAAATTGTATTCGACATCATTTAATTCATACAATAAAATTAAGAACATTTGATTAGGCAAATTGCATTAAGAGAGTACAGTAGGCCCTCGCTTTACACGGCACTCTGGATACACGGTTCCCATACTACACGGAGCTAAAAATCCGACATCCCTCCGACTACACGGACTTCTTATTACACGGTATTTAGTAAGCAGCCCATAAGTTCGTTGTGCAAACGGGTATTGATGTAAATTTTGTTATCGACTGTTATCTTTTAGACATGCTTGATTATATAATAGCTGCCTAAGAACACGTTTGAGCTGACTACTGTGTCGCGCCAATTTTTGAATAAGGTGTCAATGTCATAAATGTCATATCGTCCGTATTACTCCTACTTCAAGTTGTATTCCTTGGTCTCCATACAGCGCGATAAAAATGATACGATTTGTACCAACTCTGAGTCTCTCATAGCACGGATCCCATACTGCACTATGTAAGGTTCCATAGAACGCACTACGAATTAGCCTGAATTGTATGTTAAATACGAGTTTCTTATAGCACGGTTCCCATACTGCACGGTACGCACTTGCCGCGTAAAGCGAGGGTTTACTGTATTGTAGTGTTGAGACATGAATTTTAGGTCATTTTTAAATCATCGTGAAAAAGACAATCAATTTTTATACTATCATGTTTTTTTTATAATTTCTTTATCAAAGAGTGCATAAATAATGAAAACAAAATAAGTTAATAATTTAATTATTAGTAGTGGCTGAAGTGCCCACGATGCAATTCTCCTTGTAATCCGAAATTATTAATCTAGAATGATGTCGCGATGGCATATGCTAAAATTAAAAAAATATATTTTTGACAGAATAACTGTACTAAAAAAAGATCAATTTCTTATCACTTTTTTTAGTTCCTGAGTTGTTTAAAAAAATAGTAAAAATTAAAATGAATCGGTCCAGTAGAACTCGAATAATCGTGGGCGTATTGTAAAAGACAGTTTTGATAAAAACGACATTAAAGTTTCGCAAAAGGAAAGAATCAGAAGAGGATTATTATGGTCAAACAGCTGTATCTCCGAAAATAAATGAGATTTTTAAAAATCCTCTCGTACTCTTAAATTGATATACCTTTAAAATATGGAAAAAAAAGAAAATTTTTCTTTTTGAATTTCTACACAAAGATACTCCCTTGTAAATATCCGTATATAAATATAGTACTTTTTAAGTAGAGTTATTTTATCGATTTTATTCATATTTATAATTTATGACAACAAATTTTACTACTAACTTGAAGTCCATTTTCTTCAGCACCGTTAAATAGGAAAACTAAGGCATGCTTAAAAGTCTTGTTGGTCGATGTAATAACCCTCAGTGCCTCCAACATAACGGCGCAGTTAAGGGCATCGTCGGTCGCACCAGGACCGGCCTGCACACTGTCGAAATGACAATTGATCAGTAACGCGTGGTCTGGTTCTTTGCCCTGCGCTGGTGTTACTCGGGCTATCACATTCTGCATTTTCCTGTACACGGTGGCCTGGATAAAATAAAATTATATTAGATTTTCATGTAAATGTAAAAGCACACATATTTATAAACTAGTATTTAAAATGGATATTCGTGATTTATTCTCGTATTTGCATTTGCTATTATAACTCTGGAATGTAATAAATCATCTATTCTATTTTATGATTTTTTTCGGCTGACTTCGTCTATAACGCCTTTAAATTTAAACAGTTGTATGGGGCGTTTACTAATCACGTGATCAATTTTTGAGTATTTTTGGACCCCTCCCTCCCCTTGGTGATACGTGGTAATATTTAAAATTTAATTAAGACAACTCGTATTGAAAGGGTAAAAAGCTGAACTTTAAGGCAATATGTCTTGTAATTAATTTGTTTGAATCGCTTACATATTACAACAAGATGTATGTGATATATTTGTCTTAAATGAAGAAATAATAACTCAAAAATATATTAAATAGAAAAATTCTCATATTTAGCTAGAGTGCAAATGTGTCCAAACAAAGTATAACTATATTTAAAAAATAACTAGAAACTTACATTCATAGTACAATAAATTATATGTAATAATTTCCACAAATCTTGGTTAAGGCAAATTAGTTCATTTTTAATAGATTGTAAATTGTAGCATTGTTTGTAAATGTTTAACGTTGATTATAAATCTTATACTAAACTATGACGTATATTTTAGATAAACACTCCCAATATATTCATAGAACTATTTCGTTTATAAATAACAACGCAAGTGATAAACAAAATACTTATCATGGCGATCCCTACCAGTCCAAATGGCTTGTATCCTAAATTGTATTGTCCTGAAGTGACTTGGATATCTATTTCTATTTTATGTGCTGGATTGGCTTCCGATGCAGTTTTATTTAGAGCATTATGAATTAAATCTCGAGCAAGAACTTCATTGGTTCTTCCTCCGACGATACGAGGTCCGAGGGCAACTAATTCTTTCAAGAAGACTTCTGCCCGTTCTGCGACAAATGATCCTGGATGGCTCGCCTGAAACGTAATAATTGACCCATGTAATTAAGAGAAATATCTTATACACATTCAGATAAATACTCGAAAAAAATTATGAAAAACAAGCCTAAAAAAATCATGAATGAACTATCTATTAGTACTATCTATTAGAAATGAAGTGCAATAGATAAAAATGATAAGTACTTCCCTTTGTTTTAATATATTTTCTTCATAGTTTAATGTTTTAATATATTTTCTTTATATTTTTATTTTATTTTAAAGTTCAAGTTTCAAGTTCAACTTGAGAAATCTTAATATTTATAACCTCTATTAAGCTTACCTCATTTTCTAACGTTACAGGCTTCGGAAGGGAAACATAAGCTTCATAAACTCCATAGAAGAGAAGAGCAAAAATTATAGCAACCGGCAAACTAAGCCAAGCTGGTAGCTGATGAACATTATCACCTTTGTTTAGCCTTTCACATTCTGAAGATCTTTTAATTCTGAAAATAAAATTGTTTTTTGTATGAAATATAAAATTAAGTCCAAAGGTAAGTCCACGTGTGCAAGAGAGTGTTACTCTCTGCAAGATTAGGCAGGTCACATATTATGCAATTTGTCGAGATAATAGGATGGTCGTCATACTTGGATGTAAATTTAAACGTTATGGATAATGGTTCCATACATTACATACTTGTACATATTTAATAGATATTCATTAAATTTGAATTGAATTTTAAGATAGAATCAATACTTTTCAAGAGTAAGCTAATGCATAGTTCAATATTTGTAGTATAAATAGATTAGGTTTGCAAAAATATTGAAATATTTACTTAATTAAATATAAAGTATATCAATTAGGCAAACCATAAATTATGATTATTAGGCAAACCATAAATGATTATTATTATTATTTTTATATAATTGTTAATGTTAAAATACTCATTAATTAGTTAACTAAAAACTTATAATTTAAAAACACTTAAAACAATGTGAAACAAAATGTTTCTTTCATTAAAATACCTAAAAATTTGTAGAAGAAAATACTTATATTAAGACACTTATAAATTTGTTAAAACATTATAAAATAACCTAAAATTTGTTAAATAAAATAATTTATTGTAAAAATATTGTAAAGTTTATTAAAATACTTGACAAAATCAATTATTTTGTTAAGACAAGCAGAAAGTTCTTTAAATCATTTAAATCGGACGCTTAGTTCTCTCAAAAACTGCCATTTTTTGCACATTCAGCTTCATATCTTCGAAATGGCTAGGCCTGCCTTTGCCAAAAACTAATAAACACTTTTCCCAATCATTACTAATTGAATGTTTTTTAGATCATTCAAATCGGATGCTCCGTTCTCTCAAAAACTCGATTTCTATTTTCTGCACTCTTTGCTCTTTATCTTCGTAACTGCCAGACCTGCCTTTGCCAAAAACTAATCAGCACATCTCCCTATCAATAGGAATCGAATGTTTTTTTGAACCATTCAAATCGGTTGATCCGTGCGCCCGAAAACGTGACTGGAAATTTGTCTCCATACATACATACACACACACATCCATTTTTTCTGAGGTATGAAAATGTTCAGAAACCTTCAAAACGTCGAGAAATGTAAAAATTTTCAATTTAGATTTTCGGCCCATTACAATAACTTACCCTACGGGAAGTTAATAAATAGATGCAAAAATAGAAAATAATCAATGATAAAAATAATTGCTTTACTGTATCTTTGTTGCTAATAATTATTTAAATAAAAATATATATAATTAAAAGCCTAAATATAATAATAATAATAATTATAAACAAGCATATAGATTTTCAACGCTTCGTGTTTGTAAGTACGCAGAAGTATATCAAATATTAAAAAAAAACTAAATTTGTTTTTACTGAATTATATATTTTGCATTTTATTCAATGACTTTCTGCCATCTATCTTTAGGATGATTTTGGTCCCATATTTGTGGTTTTTATCAGAAAAAAAATGAACCAATGGCGAGTGAAGATAATTGTCATTTGCGACAGTTTTACCATTCGAAGAATTCTGTATACTTTGAAATATATGGTAATCAGGTGGTGCTGAATCTGGTCTTGTATAAGGTATGTCATATCATTTTCCAGCCAAGCTCCAACAGTTTTCCTCAAGTTGGTAAAAATGTGTGAGGTAAATGCACATCTCATATTTAACAATTCTGCAAAGTTTTTTTGATTGCTTTATTCACTTTTATTAATTGTTGACAGTAAACATCTGAAATGATCTGTTTTGGATGCTAAATCTTCCATTTGCTGGTTTATTGAGTTTGTTGTTGGTGATCTGTTTGCAACTATGTTTCAATTACTTAACTACAGTTACTATATATGGTTCATTTCCTTTTAAAAAAGGGTGGTAGAGTAAAGATGATTTTTTGCATATAATTTGTGAGGTAAACAAATACCAAGCTTGTGATCTTGTGAACTAATCCTCAAGATGTATTTCATTTCAATTGTTCGGAAAAGCTTCTTCCTAGCCTCTCAAATATGTTATATGAGTTTTCTTTTAAATTATGATTCAGTAATCATTTTAATTTTAGTAGGCCAAACAGAACACTGCTCTTTTTTTAAGAAAAAACCTCTAGAACGCACAATCAGCACCATAAACTTCCCAGTCATTTAAGCTTAAATTACGTAAGAATCTCAGAATTTGAGATACCCAGCTGTAAGTCTGTAAATACTTCTATATTGACACCCTAAAGTTGTCTCAAAACCTACATATGGTATTGACACCCGACCAAAAAATACGTCTGTAAATACTTCTATATTGATACCCCAAAGTTGTCTCAAAACCTACATATGGTATTGACACCCGACCAAATGTAGGTTTTCAGACAACTTTAGGGTGTCAAATATACATCTTAACTATATATTTACAGACTTACACCTAGGTATCTCGAATTCCGAGGTGAATTCACTATAATGACTGGATTATACCTATTTGTGAGTGGCAGCTGCCTTTTTTCAGTTATAGAAATAACAAACTGAATATGCCGAACATGTTCAATTTTCCACTCCATTTATAACTAACTATTAGTTTTAATATAAATCATACACTGCTTGCATCTAACAAATCTATGTGGTCGGTATCACATGAAAAACATCAAATTGCAGCATAAACATAAATGCGAAAACCAATGTAAATTGATTAGTTCTTATATTTAAGGTCAACAGGTTAATTCAGATTAACGTTCGCAATATAAATATTATCATAGTATCATCTATTGCATTTGTGTAATAAATGGTAATTATTATCTAGCTCCTTTAAGGTATTCTATGAAATTTTTGTTCTCCTCAACAGCTTAATTTTTAATAAAATACCAAATACTTTAATAAATTTCATTATGAAAAAATTGTTAATAATATAATGTATTAATTTGTATTGTCTATAGATGATCCAAGATATTATTTATTATCCAGTTAATTAATTAGTTGCTAAATTTTTGGTTACTGAATAATGCTTGCTATTACTTATCATCAATGCTATAATAATAATGAAACTAGTGGTGTGTATGGCATCGTGCTTTAAGGAAAATTGCTGGAACTTCCCGTACCGTAAGGAAATGTTCGAGGAATATTAAGTGTTTTCTAATAGGTTGTTATAAATAAATACTGTAACATTGTCTAATATTTATTAGAAGTATATAAAATGAATTGCAAAGTTGAAAATATTACTTTAAAGTATATTAGAACTTAAGTCAGAATTACAATTAAAATCTGAATTATTTTCGATATACAACAAATTGAAACAATTTTTTTTTTCAAAAGCAATTATTTTGTTAAAGCAGAAAGTTCTTTGAATCATTCAAATCGGACGCTTAGTTCTCTCAAAAACTGCCATTTTTTGCACATTTAGCTCTGTATCTCCAAAACCGCTGGACCTGCCTTTGCCAAAAACTAATCACCACTTCTCCCCATCACTACTAATTGAATGTTTTTGGATCGTTCAAATCCGATGCTCCGATCTCTCAAAAACTCGATTTCTATTTTCTGCATTCTTTGCTCCGTATCTCCGAAACGACTGAACCTGCCTTTGTCAAAAACTAATCAGCACATCTCCCTATCAATACGAATCAATTTTTTGAATCATTCAAATCGGATGATCCGTGCTACCGAAATCGTGGACAAAAAACTGTATTCATACATACATAAATACACACTCACAAACAACCATTTTTTCTAAGGTATGCCAAAATTTTCAGAAACCTTCAAAGCGTGAAAAAATGCAAAAATTTGAAATTTCAATTTTTGGACGATTATAATAACTTACCCTACGGTTACGGTTAAAGTTAATAAATGCATATAGAATTTCATAAAAAAATGATATATATTTCTTTGTATCAAATTTTTGCAGAACTATCAAGAATCATTTGACTACTATTTTATATTATAAATTATTATTTTGTATGATCGTTCGAAGTAAAAATGTAGTTTATTGGTGAGAAGTGGTTTAAGATATTTGTTATTTAAAAATGTACTGACACCTTTTGGCAAATATTTGTTTATTTTTCACATTTATAAATCTTCTATCCTTATCTAAAGATTACTTTGGCCCAACAACAGGCTCAATACCTCAGTTTGTGTTTAGGTGAGTTTAGTGATTGTTTGTTCAAGGTTCCAGCAGCTTGTTATGTAAGTCTATTTAATAGTTTTGATTTTTTTCTGATTTTGTAAACCCAATATGCATGCTGTTAATTCAATATTAACTTTTCATTTTTAATACATCTGAAAGACGAATGCCATACGCTTTTCTCATTGTTTGCAGCAAATAGAAAATATATCCAAAAAATCGTTGACTAAAATTAAATTTCTGCTTTATGTTTTGCATCTATATATAATGAAAGCCATTACTTAGGCGGCATAAAAATGCTTGTGTCTAAAGTTTGAATCAATTTTTTTAAATATATTATTATTACAATATATGTAAGGAGAAAGAATCTAATGTATCTAAATACTATATAAACTTTATCTTGCAATAAGTTGTAAAGTTACGATTTTGAAACCACATGGCGACTATTATCGATGGCGACCATTCCGTGATATAGTAGACAATAATTGTCTACTATCAATTAATAATTTTTACAATCAATTGTATTTTACTTGTAGAGGAAGTATTCTCATTTGCTATCATAATTTTCAAAAAAAAAAGTCTATATCGCAAATGACACAAAATGCACAAAATCAAAATTCGATTTTGAAGGCGTGTTATAATAAATACATCAAAGAGGCTAGGAAGATCTGATGCAAGAGCTTCTCCTAAAATGAGATATGATTCCTATTGGGTTGACTTACATTAAATTTGATTGCTTACAAAAAGCATGTGTTTATAAAATTCCTTTCGTTTTATCATAAAACCATTATACGATTTGTGGTATTTTTCAACATCTACAATAGTCCAAGAGCCCGTGGGCGGATGACAGTATGTATTTTACGACACCTGAGATTTTGTGCATCGATTCCTCTATACCTA